GTTTTATAAATAGCATATGTAAGTGCTCTGTCATGAGAAGGGGAAAAAAAAAACACAAGAAAACATTTGTAATCATCCCAGAATATTTAAAATGGTAATATTATCTCATGGAAGCCTTGGTGTGAACTTTATTTTCTGAACTGATAAGATAATGCCTTCTTATTTTTAACAGGATAGTTTTTCATTAAGATTAATTTAAGATGTTTTTAAATACAGCCACAGCTCTGCTGTTCTGGGGCAGGATCACTTTCCTAGAGCAGTCTAACTTCCTCCAGCCTTTTCACAATGCTGGAGTTGCTGAGAACAAAGCATAGGGAACTGCTTTTTACTACTTTCTCTGTTTTATCTCCTAAACACCGAGGACAATTAATAAGCCCTTGAAATAGGGATGAAGAATCATAGAATCATAGAATCATAGAATCACCAAGGTTGGAAAAGACCTAAAAGATCATCCAGTCCAACCGTTCACCTATTCCCAATAGCTCCTACTAAACCATGTCCCTCAATACAACATCCAGTCTTTCCTTGAACAAAAAGAAAGCTCTCTGCTTTGTGCCTCTGGGCGCACACAGGAAAGGAGCCCCAGGACCATGCTGCACCACACCAAGAAGCCCTACTGCAGTCCTGTGCACTCCTCTGCAGAACCGTGATCCACCAGATGCAGCACCTCTCTCCAAATAGGGATGTCAGGAGGTTTATATAAGGTCAGCAGACCCCACAAAATGAAAACGTCCTCTGGAAGAATGGTAGGAGGAGCTCTTGCAAGGGAGAGAAAAGGAGATTGAGCAATACATAGCAATGGAGCTTGGAATTTTTTAATTATATAGGTGCCAAGGAGAACAAATAATGAAAGACACGTGACACAGGTAAGATGTAAGATGCTGCGTGTTTGGCCCAAATACAGCCCAGTGTTCCCCACTTGAGAGTGGCACGCAAGGCTGCTGATGTGTCCCAGCACAGATACCAGTTTGTGTAGGACAGATCTGAGATTTACATCTGATAGACTATGGGCATTTATGAAAATAAAATTCAAAGGGAAAGAAATGACAACATCACCAAACCCAGATTCTGTGCAATTGCAAAATGACCTGCTGCATAAGTGTGGCACAGAATCCTGTGGCTACTGCAATACCCTGCTCTCAAAACAGTTACTAAGTCCCTTCTGGCTCCCTACAGGCAGTAACAAGTCCAAACTCACTTTCATATCAGCCCTGTTATTTCTAAAAGAAAAAGGAAATTGTTAAGCTGCTGTTAACAATGCTGCTAAAATTTTTCTATAACACATCAGAATGCACTTTGCCAAAATAATCCTCCTTAATATGTTCAGAGTTTAAGTGTTCAGTCAACACATCAGTGATGCAACAAGTAGAAAGACATTTCCTTCTCCTTATATAACTAAGAAAATGCAAAACAAATATGTCAGGTTTTTCGAGGACTTAAACAAAACCACATTTACGTACAGATCATAGAGTCGTAGAGTCATTAAGATTGGAAAAGATCACCAAGGTCATCAAATCCAGCCACCAACCCATCCCCACTGTGCCGACTGACCACATCCCTCAGTGCCACATCTCCGTGGTTCCTGAGCAGCTCCAGGGATGGTAACTCCACCACCTCCCCAGGCAACTTTATTAAGCCTTTCTTAAAACCATAGCAGGCAATTTCAAATTTCTGTTTCTTACTGAGCAGAATTCTCACTGTTATCTTTGATGTCCTCTCTCTCTTTTATTGAATAGCATGTACACACTGAGCAATGCCAGCAGCTGGGCTGTGCCTCAGAACTCCCTGAGCTGTGTCCTCTACAACAATCCGTGACTGCCTCTGGAGCTGCCAAGGCAGGACTGGAAATGTTATAAAAGCACTGACCAGAACTGCTGTTGATTTTTTAGGTGAAAATTGGAGCAGGGATAAAGGGTGGAAGGCAGTCAACAGGCAGAGAATATGCGGAATCAATTTTCCTTTTCACTGAAGAGCTGGATCCTTAAAGAGATAGCAAAAAGGAAAAAATAACAGTTTATTTCTCACATTATTCCAGTGGAAGCTGATGAACTACCAAGGCAGACTGCTGAGGGGCAGACACCAAGCTTCTTCTGTCTCTGCTTTAAGCCCCACTTCTCTTCTCCACCTTGTGAACCTCTGTGACCCCGAGCCTTACACATTGAGTCTGTTTCTCTTGTATTTCTTTCGCTATGTGTGACCGACTCACATCACCACAGAGTATCACAGATCTGCCTTTGATATATTTAGCAGCTGCTGTGAGATGCAGCGTGGGAGCTGAGAACTGTACATTCCCCATCACCACAGGAGGTGCTTATTAAGGGAAGAATGCTGAAATCCCTTACATCCTGTAGCGTTCATGTCATCTATAATGCCCATGGTATTCAAATACCAGACATCAGTGCTCAAGTGCTTGTGAAGTATGCTTTGATAGCGGAGAGAGGATGGTCAGAAGGAATATAATGTCACCTTCCCAGTAACCTTCTCTATATTTGGATACTGTCTGTTGCAAAGCTGAATCACAAAATGCTTCACCCTCTGACACTCAGTACAGAACATGATTACAATACTGTCTGTGATAATAGTGGCTGACTAAGACAGCAAGCATGGGAGGCACTTGAGAAGAAGTTAGAGGCTGGATAAAAGTCAGTAAAAGCATGCTGTCAGTTCCCTTTTGCCTTTTGTTTCCTACAACATTATCACATCAATCCGTGTGATGGAGAGCTCTATCTTCTTGCCAAGTCAGAAAGAATAAATGATCTGTTTGCTTAATGAGTATGGGCCAATTTTTCTCACAAAGGCAAACGTGATGGAAAGCAAATAATTCCCTCTCACAAAGGTAAGACAAGAATGGAGCTGGGACCTGGGTCCTCAACCCCATGGTAAAAAATACACAGCAAAAAGAAGTTGCTACTGTGTGTATGGCAAGAGATGCCAGTCCCACTCAATCAGATGGCATTTTATTTGTCTTGATTGTTTATCTGCATTACTGTGTCATTTCAGAGTCCAGGTTGGACACAAAATCCTACATTGTCTCTATGCTTGATAGCTGACAGTTGGAGGGAGTTTAGCAGGTAAACTATACTAAGAATGAAGAAACTTTTGGATGGAGCTCTGGAGAGCTGTACTACCTGCCTCATCCACCACCACTACTCAGACCACATTAAGAAAATGCTGTGTTTTTCTGCCATATTGTGTGCCTAGCTTCCCTATACGGGAAGCAACTGCATTTTGGTCACGCAAGGAGTGCAAATCTGCTCTTACAGCAGGATGTGCCTCGTCAGAAAATGGGCAGTTCAAGCCAGTTTCACTATATATGTGACTGTTTATATATGCACTCTTAGGTGGAGAATGACTGTGCTTGGTCACACAACAGAAACACGTCTGGTGAGGCCTGGTCCTGAGAATCCTATCCTGTATAAAGGGTACAGTGAGCAAGTAACTTTGAGCCAAAGGAGAATGTCAAGAAAGGATGTGATTTTTTAATTCCCATTGGATTTAGCGATGTTTTAATTTCACAGATAAGAACAGTTTTGCATGAAGAATGCCACAGCAGCAATAAAGTAAACATGCCTTTCTGGAATTACTTTTAAGCTTTTCCCCGTTCACTTGGTCTGTACATGAAAGAATTTGGGTTACTGAATATTTTAAGTAGGCTGTTTATTGCTGAAATTTCAAAAATGTAGTAATGTTCTAGTTGAAAAAGAGCTATCTTTTCCACACAGAAAACCTTTAAATAAACACACAGTTACAATGTTTTGCATTTTCATAATGTTTCTGCTTCTTTATGTCAGCACCTTAAATCTTAACAAGTAACCTTAATAAATGATGTCAGACATTTCCAGTGCCATAAAATGGTCTGTTCAAATGAGAGTACAGAACCTAGAATGCCAAAATGCCAGCAACCACTTTAACAGGGAATTGTTTCAAACAAACAAAACCAAAACCAAAACCTAAAAACCTACCTGTCCAAACTAGAAGTTTAAATGCATTTTTTTATCTTGCAGATATTTAATGAAAATCTTTGAACTTGTGATCATTTCAAAAGGTTTTACCCAGTGCCAGTAGAACTGAACACAAGTAGAATAGCATGGGACAAGGCAGAGGGTAAATGCTGGATAATTCCATGAAGACAGAGCCTAAGCACAATCAAGCAACTTTTGCAGTGCTGTAAAGGTTTGAGGAACCTTGACAGCCACATTAATGGATCTGTATTTTATCACAGTGATATCTATCCACAGAAGCATTGTACACACTAGTCAATAACTTTATGGGGACATGCATGAGGCTGGACTGGTAAGAAAGGCACACTGATATTCTCACCAGCATGGTGTTCTTGAAACTTACTGTGAATCATGCTAGCTCCTCTAATTTCTGGTTATTTCTCTCTTTTTCTCTTTCCTAACATTTCAGTAGTCAAACTGAATATATTAAAATGTTGTTAGAAAAGCAAGAATTTATTTATGAATATGCTGGACAGTATCATATTTCTCTACCACTTCTATTATGAAAAAAAGAAAAAACACATATATTTGCTCTGAAATAAATTCTTAAGACTACAGTGAACAACCAGAAATTTTGCTGTGCAAAGTCCCCATCTCTGAAAGCAGAACTGAAAGGTTTCTTGTTTCAATAAATACTTTAGGCATTTTTTTCCATTAGAGAGGTTGATTCATGGAGAAAATGCCTGTCTAAGGACTTGCAAAACAAATCATCTCATGTCTAAAACATAAGAAAAGTTTGCAAATGTTTGGCATAAATAGTTGGAGCATTTGGTTACAAGAAAGGAGATTTCAAAGCTCTGTCTTTAGCCCAGAGTTCTTTTAAAGACTCATGTACCTTAGAGGCTATATTATGCTTTAGACCATTAAAAGACACTCTATTTTCTCTTATTCAGTTCAGGAAATTATTTAATCATCTTAGCCCCTTTCAACCAAACTTTTTCCTCCCCCAACCCTCCCCCCACAAAAAACATCCAGTGCTATACACCACCAAGACAGATATCCATGCAGTATTGACTTTATTTATAAAGAATAGTTTGGACAAGAATGTCACATTCCTTTAAAAAGTTTAAATTAACTAACCAACAGGTGAAAACTGCACAGGTGGTGCTATTTACATAAGACAATGTCCATCTTCCTTCCCAAAACTTAAACAAAGCCAATCTCACTCTGAAGGAAAAACAACAGAATACATAAGCACACTGATTTCTAGCAGTTATCTTGCAAATAGCAGTCTGTCTCTTGTAAACAGCAGTCAAGTCTCTTGTATTTACTGAAATTACCTTTTCCTTGTAAACGCTATGCAATTTGCTCTTTGGCACAGCCATATTCATGTCATCATTTCAAGACTGATACTGTAAAGGCTTCAGGCACCTAATGGCATTTCATCAATATAAAAATCAATGATACTCTCATTGGTGTATCCAGCAAGAAAGACTGCCCAAATATTAGACACCTTCTGGAAATGTCTATACTTACCCTTCCTGCATCCAGACTGAATGAAGTTTACACAGATTCTATAAAAATAAACACGAAATCTGAAACTTAGAGAATACTTCCAAAATCCTAGACAAGGATTGTGATCACTGACTTCACATATAGAGAGCACAAAAATACTGTGATGCCCGGTGCCTTTCTAGGACATGCTCTTGTATGGCCACCTAAATTAGTCTGTATTTTCTCACTTTTTTAATGCACCTTGGCAAGAAAATATCCCCAGTAAGTGTATTAGGAAAGTTTCAGAACCATCTGATCCACTGTCTTGAATGCACTGGGCCTACCTTGAAGCTTGTAGTCAGTGCAAGAATTTAGTCAGAAAACAAAAACATCAATGTTCTAGATGTAAAAATCACTTGCAGGTAAATCTCACCATTTGGTGTTCTCAGTTGTGCCAAGCAGTTTCATTTTCATGTTTAAACGTTCAGATTTCATTGTCAAATTTCCTGGCTCTTCCTTATGCTATGAAATTCAGACATGTGATTATGCTGCCATCCCAAGATTCCCGTATACTAAAACTATCCAGTTGGCATCTGTTAAAAAAAATAAGACTCCAACTGGGCTCCCATTCTTTAAGAATTATACTTTACATATCTTGATTAAAAAGCCTACCTGGATCAATTAAGAGCAATATTCTACAAGGCTGTAACAATTCCTGTTGCCTTGTGCCAACTGTTAGATAAATAAGACTTGTAAAACAAAATCAAAACCTGTTCCTACATTTACATTTCCTATTTCTGGAATGAACACAAGTTTTCTAAAACTCTTGCTTATCAACTTGTGTGTGGTCTTTTTTGTGTCAGAAGAAATGCATTCATTGATTTCCCTTCTGATTGAAATGTTTTGCTGCCACAAGGAATAATGAGTTTCTCTGTCCTTCCCAGGAATCAAGAATTACCTCCGTCAGACGATTAAATTAGAAAATCCACTTACAGTGCTTGGAAATAAGAGGATAAATTGATTCTAATAGACAATGGCAAGTCCTGTTTCTCCTCAGAAAGCACAGCCTCTCGAAAGCCATTTCATGAGATGCTGGCAATTAGTCTCCTGTATCATTCTTCTTCTTCTTCTTCTTCTTCTTCTTCTTCTTTTTTTTTTTCCCCTAGTTATTCAGGAAAAGTGTCTAGTTTCTATTAAATATGTCGTCCAGTCAGGAAGAAAAGTGGCCTGTCCTCTTTTGCGTTGGCAGTCTGGAATTCATCCCTCAATCGAAACTGCCATTCATCTTCCAGCTCCAGCCGGACAACAGTCTGGCGAAGAGAATTCCGATCTTGACAAATAACACACAGGGTGGCACCTAAGTAAACAGTCAGTAAGAAACCCATGTGAGTATCACCCTTGTTCTCAAATCGCCCATCTCCCACCACCTCTTAGCAAGAGGAATTTCCACCACTTCCAAAACAGGAGCTACAGATATTCTTGAGTGAAAACTAAGACATTTAGGTTTTTTGGAGAGTTATCTTCAGTTCCCTGTTTATCAGGGTCTTCTTCTGTAACCTGGGATATCTCGTATTCATCTAGTACACAGGATTAGCAATACATTCCTTCTCTTTGGAGAAAGAAAGATCAAATCTGTCAAGTCAAAGAGGGTGGTGACAGAAAACAAAGTAATACCTTACATCCATTACTGTTCTAGCCCTGATAGAACGTTACTTTGTTAAGTGAAACCCTCACTCAACAAAACACACCACAAGCCAATCCCCACAATGGCTAATTAAGCTCTGTGTATTTTGCTGACCAGAAATGATCTAATATGAACTGTTTTGACTGGCATGCTGATACTATTTCAACATACACACATGATTTCCTGGCTCTTGAAAAAAGTGCTCAGTCAAGAGGAAATCACCTCACCTGCTCTCATTACTCTGCAAAAGAGACGGTGAGATAGAAAGAGATGCCCAAGACAGAAGCAGCTGAGAATACAATAAAAGTAAAGAGTCGAGTGGTGTTTAATGCTTAACTGACTGATTAGAAGGTCAACTAAACTGCCAAGGGAAACAGGGAACTCTTGAATCAAATACACTTTGTGCTACACACTGCAAAAATCATCTGATTTGTGCAGGCTTCTTGTCACTCGAAAAAAATGCAGAGTAACTTTGAATGGAAGCAGTCCTTTTATACTTCAAATGTGGACATTGCTCCAGAATGCAAATAGACACAGGGACTCACGTGGCTTCAGTAGCACATGCAGGTAAAGCATTGTGTACCCTAATCTGTGCTACAGATACCTATACAAAACTGCATTAACTACAAAAAAAGAACACAGCAGTTCATAACTTCTGTTTTAAGAAGGCAGTGGCAGTGGTGTTTATACTCCAGTGACAGATGTAGCTGAGTGAAACAAATCCCCAGGGCACTGAATCTCTACAACAGCAGCAGAACAATCCAAAAGAAGTTGCAATACAGACAGAAGTGATTTGTCTCCAGTGCTGTCCATGATCATATGCACTATGTGGAGAAACTGGTTACTAAGAATAACTTCTAGTGATAGCATTTATATTTCCAGGAACAGCAAACAGATTCTGATGGAGTCTTATCATCATCCATTTTCTCTTGACAACTGAAAAAACATCACTTGCAAGAACACAATGGCTGAACGTTTTTATACATAATCATTTTCAAATATAAGGTAACAATTTATGTGTATACACTATGCATAGCAGTATAGACCAAACGTTGTTTCCCTGTCTGCAGAACTCTTAACACTGTTATGGATGAATCATCAAATATCAGAGATGGTAGGGCATATAAACACAAATATAAATACACACATGTGCATGCACAGTTTTTCACATAACATTCAAAATCAATGGTGCTTTCCCCATTTTGATCCCAGATTTCCAGTGACCATGTCATATAATTCCCTGTAATAAAACGGTTGAGGCTCACCTTTAAGAAAATGGAACTTCTTCAAAAAGCTAGCTACAACAAAGGAGTCACAGAGGTACAGCAGGAGACCACTGAATGTCAAACCAGAGGAACTGATATTCAGAGAGTGAGGCCGTGAACTCACATAGCAAACTGCAATCTGATTGGGAGGGGATAAGAATCACAGAAATTAGCTTTCTTCAGGCTTCTTCACATCAACCTTACAGTATTTGCACCTGATCCACCTTCAGACTTGCTTTCCAACTCCAAACATTATGATCATTACTGTTCCTTTGTAACTATTCCTCTACTTATTAAAAAGCAATCTAAAAGCAGTATCTGTAACTATTCATTAGTCATAATTACTCATTACTACTATAATGAGGTTTAGATATGAATGGTTTGAAAGCTGCAGTAATGATGGCTCCCCACATCCATAACTCTGTGACCTGTGCAGCACAGTTTATCTACACAGGCACGAATATAGTAACTGCACAGTCTGACACAAGAAAAACCCTATAGAAAGGTCTAATGCCATTTACATCACAAAAGGATTAAAAAATCAGTATAGTTGTGCATCTACATAATTGCATGAGGTTTCCTACTGTCTAATTGCTTTTTCTATTATTAATCTCCTATTCCAGTGGGAACTAGGAGTATTTATAGCATCCTTTCAGGTTTTGTAAATTTCAGGTTAAGGAATCCTCTAAATATAACTGGACTTCCGAAGTGCCTTTCTACTCACCTGGGGCAGACCCACATCCAGCTGAAATCAGCATGATTCAGTGGAGGAAGGTTGACTCACAGCAAGAGAAACTGGCGCAAGATATCTCTATTTATACATACTGTAGATGCAATAATTCCTTCAACCCTGCTGTATCATATATAGTAGCTCAGGTAACAATTCCCAAACTGAATTTAACTGAAAGGATGCAGTGGATGAAGGCACTAACAGCCCAGTGCCCTTCCACGGATTTTGTTTTTTCAGGCATGATGGGAAGCTCAGCCAGAAAGGACTGGAATCAATCATAGAATCACTCAGGTTGGAAAAGACTTTAAAGATCATTGAGTCCATCCACAACCTAACCATACTACCCTAACAACCCTCTGCTAAATCATGTCCCCGAGCAAGAAAGACAGAGATCAAAATGTTCTGGAAGCAGCACAGATTGGAAGGTCATTACACAGCTGTTTTGGTAAAGAAGTTAAGTTAGTAAATGCAGCAAGACTGATTTTCATTTAGTATTTAAGTCAAGTGAAAAGATAAAAATAGATTAGTGAAAATCAACTCCTTATTATCGCACTTCTACATGACCTACATTTGTATTTAAAAATAACCTTGGCTTTAGGTCCAAAGCCAACGGGGAGAGCCAACGGATCTTGAATGCTGATGTCAGCCTCTCCCACTCTGACTGTGTATCTTGGTATTTGCTGCTCTGACTCAGCTTGTCAGTTAAAAGTGGACAAAAACTTTTGTATTTTGAAGTGCTTCTTAAGGACTAGTTAGTGTTTGTAAAACTCTTGTGGAAGATATTTGATGTAGGAAGGACCAAATTACAATGGACTGGGAAAACACTTCTTAAAAAAAAAAAAAGTGTTCTATGTAAGTTAAAAATCTAATACCACTCACCATATCTATTGGACAACTCTGATATTACTTTCCATGTACTTTATTTGTAGTTTCTCCCAATATCTCTATAAGACCAAGAATTTAACGCCATAGGGTTCTAATATCTGTTAATTTGAAGGCTGTGTTCTGAAGGCATCCATCAACAAACTCATCCAAAACATAGGCAATACATTCCTAAAGCAAATTAAAGATTTCTTTGTTTCATACCTGCGGTCCTAAGTTGAGGTAACAGTCAACAGAGAGCACTGGATGTCTATAATTCTTCAGTGAGAGAGGGAAGAAGCGATGGCTGTGATACTGGAGGTATTTTTCTAGGAGTAACTGGGCAGGTGCTGACAAGAAGGTATGCTTGCTGTCAGGAGCACAAATGTATTGAGCAGGTGAGATTGAAACTGGAATGTCAGATACCTATGAGGAAAAAATATTTCTGGCACAGATCAATCCTGATCAATCACATTGCATTTATCTGAATTCTGGTTTGTACAAAACACATCTCAACCCAAAAATCTAAGACTTATACAAGAACAGTCATTCAGACAAACGTATCTACTACTAAAAATGTTGAGAGATTCAAATAACTATATTTGTATTTACAGAGACTTAGAGTTTTCTTCTTTGATACCAAAGTACTCCCGAATATGAAATCATTTGAAGATGAGTAATCAGTACTATACACTTACAGTGAATGGTTATCTTTACTGTAAAATGTTATTTGGGGTAATTTTGAAAATTGGATTTTAGAAAAAAAAGAAGCAAACGTATCCCATTACTGGCACCTGAACCATTAACATCTCAGCTCTCCTGGTTACAGGGTACGAAAGGGAAAACGAAATTTTAACAAGGACGAAGAAGTCTCAGTTCCCACCTTGGACTTAATGTGGAAGGATCTTTGTCCTCCTACTGCAATTTGCTTTTTCATGACACTGAAGTGATTGAACCGACAAATAAGAAGGCCAGCACTGTGGACACGCAAGTTGAAGTCAACATCATCACAGGTAAATCTAGGAAGAATAAAATCACGGCACTTCAGAGGAAAGTTTGTCATCACAGACTAACAAGTACAAGCACTCAGGGTCTTTGATCAACACCATATGAAGGAGAGCTATCAAACATACCAACACTTTATTTAGTAGTAATCAGTCAGGGAAAGAGACTTCAGCTTTGAAATAAGTGAGGTCATTAGCAATAACCAGAATGAATTCAAGAAGATCAGAATGAGGGAGGGAACCATTAGGGAGTGAAATAACCAAAAACACAGGAGAAAGCAGAAAGAGGAAGGTACCAAAATGCCAGGGAAATGACCTAGGAGTTAAAAACATTTCTTTGCCTCTTAGTACAATAGTGCAGTCATGGAGAAAATATACACAAATATTTCCTTGACCTAAATAAGGTCAAGGAAATTAATTCCTTTGACTTCCAAGGAAATGGAAAAGGCCCTGCATTTGATCTGTCAAATGCAAATAAGTCTGCCTAATCATTTTTCCTTTAGAATAGAAATATCTGTCGTTGACAATAGAACAAAGGGCAATGGGCACAAGCTAGAACACAGGAAGTTCCATGCAAACCTGAGGAAAAATCTCTTTGCTGTGAGGGTGACAGAATGCTGGAACAGGCTGCCCAGACAGTCTCCTTCTCTGGGGATACTGAAGAACCTTTTGGATGCTTTCCTGTGTAACCTACTGCAGGGAACTTGCTATAGCAGGGGGTTGGACTCAATGATGTCCAGATGTCTCCTTCCCTGCAATTCTGTGATATCCAGTAATTTTGTTTTACATTCCCCTACAGAAATAATGCAATTTTACGTAAGTAGAGAAAAAATTATTTGAAGACAAAGACCCTTTTCTTAACCCAACAGAACTTCTGGAACAGAGAAATAAAGTAAGCAGAATGAGGCCAAACATCCTTGAGCTGAATTTGACCTATTTCAACAATAAGATGGAACAGAAGGTAAACTTCTAAAGCTGACAACATTTAAATCCTCTGGCCTTTGGAAAATTCAGCCTCAGTTCTCCATTTGGAATGCAGATTTGTACAGCAAACAGGATGATGTGCAGAACTGTGGAATTAACATCCAAGGCTTGGATTTAAAACAGCGAAGTAATTACTGCACAGTAAGAAAAATGATATTTTATTGTATGTTTTGAAAACCCTCTTTGATTTTAGCAATATTTATGTGGATACTTGTTATCCACATATCCCAGTGTCTCTGTGTTTTAAAATACACCTTTTTCGTTGCTAGCTCAGGCTTGGACTGCCATGTAATGCTTCAACCTCAACAGCACCCACATAAAGCAATATGGATTAAAGACACAGGCAGGAAATGGATGATGTGGTCTGGCATTCCTGACCTTTTAGCATTGCTGCCCATGCTTGTATCATTTTATTTTATTGCACTGTCGTTTTCTTCATTAGCAGTTCATAATGCTTCATAAGATAATAGCACTGGACTGCTTGGGAGCAGTGTTCTGTATCAGAAGATGAACGGGAGCAAATTTAAAATGCTCTTTTAGTGTCAGATTGGTAATGATAGGAATTTAGGTCATCTGTTTATCCAGACTAATGAAAGTAGAAGATCTTCCTCTCAGTTAGAAATAAATTTGGACTTCAGGAGACATCTTCCTGAGAAATACAGTAGAGTTTTGCTGTGCATTTTAGATGACCTGGGCTATCCCAAATAGCTTAAAGAAAAAATAAATATTTTAGATTTCCTGTAATACGTTTCAACCCCATGTGGATATGCTGTGCATGCTGAGGTGCCTAAAGACTCACTTTAGACAGAGGAATCCCACCTCTGACAATAGCTACTTCATTCTGTTGTGATAAATGCTTGTTTCTCGGAACCAATACCCCAGGGTTTTTTCAAGTAAATCAGTGAATGCCTGTGAGGTGCTGCACCTAGTGAATGCAGTTCTGGTAACCGTGGTGACGCTGTTCATGGTAGTATTTTAATTTGAAATACTCTATGTGATATAAATAAAAAGAAAAATGGGAGTTCTGTGGCAGCAGAATGTGAGAAATAATCACTAATGTTGATGTTCATTTACTGCTTTCTTCTGATTTGGCTGATAAACATACATGGAATAGAATAGGAATAGGAATAGGAATAGGAATAGGAATAGGAATAGGAATAGAGAATAGGATAGTTCAGTTGGAAGTGGCATGCAAAGATTATCCAATCCAGCTGTCTGACCACTTCAGGATTAACCAAAAGTTAAATTATACTAAATGTCTCTTGAACACTGACAGGCATGACTATCTTGCTAAGAAACCTGTTCCAATGTTTGACCATCCTCATGGGAAAGAAATTTGTCTTAATATCTATTCTGATCTATATTATGCTCCTCAGCATAAAAACAAACAAACAAACAAACAAAACCAAACAGCTGTATCTCTGTATCTCAGTTCCATCTCAGAACAAGACTTAGTTATGCACCATTCACCCACAAAGCCATGATTTCCTTTGGAAAAGTCCAAGTTGGCAGGAAGAGAAATATGGTGTTACCAGAAGGCTACTCGGATAAAACTGGGAGGCCTGCATTACAGTACACATTGCTCAGTGCATCTACTCCAACTCAAATGACTGCTTCTTTGAAACTGTGGGGATTAATGTCTTTTTTTAACTATTGGTAATTTGGGAAGGATTTGAATGTTCAAAAAGAAAACAAAACCTGTTTGTGCTCCATTAATAACCTCCTAAAAATCCAGCAATAGCGTTTGTAAAATTTATTTGGTTCATTATGTCTTTTGAAAGACGTTAGAGATTCACTTACCTGTTCTGATTGTATTGGACATTCTGTGTCAGATCAACATTTAGCATAATGAAATCATGGACGTGGCAACACGAGAATGGTTCCTTGATGTCAGAAGTGTTTGTTTTACTGGACCATTTTCTCATCCCAATTAAAGCATAGTGAGTGACGTTAGGAGTTGCTTCAATACGTTGCAGAATGTGCTTCAATGAAACATTCCTTTCAGTCCATGTATAGTCGCTACAGCAATTAGGAAAATGTGTTGAAATACAGAGAGAATAATTAGAATCTTATTTGGCTGAACAATAGTTCTCAAGTCCATAGTAGTTACCAGGTAGATAGCTTCAATGTTGTACTGCTTTATTGCAATTTTTCACTTCCCATTTCAGGGTAGACTCAAAATTTAAAACTATCTAGCGCTTATGTGGTGGGAGACTGATATGTCAGGTCAGAAATTTACCTTAGATCTTTCAAAGTATTCACTCAGATTTCCAGATTTTTAAAGTTACCTAGATAATGTTGCAATGCACCTGGATAATGATCACTGCAGGGTTGCTGACTTTGTGCCAGAACTTAAGTGTGCAAGATCGTCCTAATCTACCTCTCAAATCCATAAACCTCAAAGCTTTCAGTGAGCATTTTTCTTTTCGAAGGTTTGCTATAATTCCTGCATTGCCATCATTCTGGGAATAGACAAAGACATGTAGAACAAATAATGTTCTAAGGTTACGGAAATAAAAATACTGTTTGAAGACCTAGTGTATTGAAAGAGCCACACAGAGTGAAACTGACAAACGATCCAGCAGAAAGCAGTTGCCTGATTTGCACAGAAATGTCTTTTAGCTTCCTTAGAAAAATCCTACTGAAAACGTACACATGAATGGCTGTGTTTGCTCAGTGTATGAAGGACTGTTTTCAGAACTTGAAATCTGCAGTTCTAGATTGAACCAGAGCAAGGCACTTAAATCCTCAGGGGACAGAAAAGCAAAACAAGCAGTAAACATTGTGGAAAACAATTTCTCAAATGGCAAATATTATGCTCTGCTTGTACAGGGTAAAAGTAGTATACGAAATGTCATTTTAAAACTGATATGCTGTGAAAGCTTAAAAGAGATCAGCTGAAAGAGCGAGTGGTCTTCTATTTACCTTTTCCTGTCTCCTGAACAATCAACTTCTACTGCATTCCACATAACACAGGAGTCATCTGAAATGACAATGAAAGGCCAAATGTCCTGCGGCTTGATGCCCAGCTCCTCCTGCCGATTTCGTTCTAGCTCCAAGTTATGATAAGACAGCTCTTTGATCAGGAAGTGTGCCGCACCTGAAACCAAGGACATAATCTATAAGATGAAAAGTAGGGGCAGAAATTGTTTGCTTTTAACTTGAAATCCTTTAGAAGAGAATATTTCTGGACCCCAGGATATGACTCACTCTGAAGGCTTCAATGTCCTAACACTCCCCAGAGCCAACATAGTGTGTCTGTGGGCAAGATAATGACTGACAGAAACCCACTGGAAAGCATGCAAAATAAAGCCTGATTTCTGTGATAAAGATTTCTTAAAATCTGAAGGGTTGAGTGACTGATCATTTTAACCTGACAGATAGTGCCTCAACTATTGTAGTGTAAACTCTAGAAATGTGGGTTAACTGAATGACATGGGAGCGATTTCTCTTGATTCTCCATTCTAAATGATTGTCACTACTGATGTCTACAAATTGCATCACTAATGCAAGGTGCTGAATACTTCACAGATATTATATTAACAGAATCTACCCAAGAGATGTATCTAACTGGTATGCTCATTAATCTTTACCCATCTCATTTCTCCCACACACACCTGAAGCTGTAATAGAGGGCTTCCAGTCTCATGAACTCAGTTGTTTCACTTCCATGAGATGCAGCAGTTACCTCCTCTACCAGAAAGTGTGAGCACAATTCAGTTGAGCAAACAGAAGCCTCTAGCAATATTTGAACCTCTCTGGGTACCTGAGATTCCTATGCAGAATTATCTGGAAATAGCATGCAACTTAGTTCTAGAAGGCAGAGTAGGTAATTCCACCTGAATTAACTACCCTCATTTCTATTTAAAATCAAGAGAGAAGAAAAAGTATTTTCATGTGATTCATCTAGCTTGTTCTAGGTGATCTGGATTAAGTGAACTGCATTGAAGACTGTTACACAGACTGTTACACAAGACTGTCTTCAAAGAGAATCCAGATCATCAGATATGGTAGCTATAATATCTATATCTATATATCCATATCTATATCTATATCTATATCCATATCTATATCTATATCTATATCTATATATCTATACCTATATCTATATATATCTACATTTCAATTTGAATAGCACCACCTCAAGGGCCCAAGTCACATGTCCATATTTTTTTATGTCACACTTCATGTCACACTTACCCACTCCTGCACTGTTGAAAATGCTTGGAAGAACAAGCATAATGTGATTGGGCCAATACTTTTTATATATGGCCATTTCGTATTCCTTGACAACTAAAACATGCAGATGACTGGCTCCATCCATTGCATGATATAAATTGAAAAGCCCATGTTCATGGCGCCCAGTGGTGGGAGTAAAAGTGGGGCTTTTTATGAAATCTTCACTCTGTAAGTGAATCGAAGATAAGTTTCTTTATTAAGCTGGATAATGTTTAAAAAAGAACCAGGTCCATCAACAGAGCAAATTGGTTTAAGTTTCACTACATTGCTACATTTTAAATCAGCTTAATGGGAAAATAAACAAGTTTTATAAGAGTTGGAAAAAAAAGAAAACCCCATCTACTAACTTATCCATCTGGTGAGACAGTGGTGAATTGGATAGGACTGGTAATTTTTACTGCCAACTACTCATGGACCTTGAGGCTAGATCTGGAAAAGGGTTCAGATCTGTATGACAGAACATGGTAAGAAACACATTAGTCCAAAACTGTAATATAAGTCTTCTGACTGGCTATCATCCAAACTTGAATGCATTTAAACTCATTAAGTACTTTCAGGTTTGACAGTATATCTCCATAGTGCCTTGTTTCTACAAACATCCAGAACTATTCCAGCCTGAGGAACTGATTTCAGGCTGATAAGGACCCAAAAGGAAACTGCCTCTTCACAACCCTCACAGTTAAGCACTGCACATTAAAAATGTCAAAGCACAATATGATGGACGGGTATTAATTTCTGTGGAGTTCTACAGATTTAATTAAAGTGCACTGAGAAAAATATTTTATAGCTTATTTAACAGCTTATTTTCTCAAGTAAAGTAGTAAACTAGTGTTTGCTACTGTTTCACAAATTGCTCCACTAATGCCCACACCTAGCCTGAACCACTCACAGCTTCATCATAAATATGGATATTAAGAGTCACTGTAAAGGCCAACATCAGAGGCTGCATAGCCTGCCAAATGTTTTATACAGTGTTTTCTACAAGTGTATCCTGCAATTCTTTGGATAGTCTTAAAGCCTTGGCAAAGATTCTTTGTTTTTAAGAAATCATCTGAGAACTTATGCATAATAGGATTGAAAATCCACTGCCTTTCTTGTAAACCGTATGACAAACAAAACCATCTCTGAGACCAGTTGCTGAAACTGTTCTTGCTTTAACACCTTAAACCCATAACAAAAAAACTTTAACCTCAGATAAGAATGTAAATGTGAAAAAAAAACAGCCTTGGTAATGAGGAAAAGCTTATCAGTTGCTTGACAATTTTGTTGCATGTCTCTCTTTCTGGGAGAAAATACAAGCCTGTGTTAGGTCCTTATCATCTCTTGACAGCACGATCAGAAATGTAAAGAATCCTACAACGAATCTTAAAGATGGTCGTGTCTCTCTCCTATATATGGCCACAAATATAATAATTCATCTACCTTATCTGTGACTAGTGGCAGCCTCATGCTTTCCAGTTGTCTTCCTGGTTGGCTAAAGACAAAATGATGCTCCTTTGACTTTGGAATGATAAAATGAAGCTGGATCTCTTCTCCCAGCATGGAATAGGAAAAGGCAAATGCATGCAGAGTGGACTCATAAAGCTGAGGATGGGAAAAATAGGATAATGCCAGTGGTTAGTGTCAAAATTATTTCCTACGAGGTCTCACTGTGGTGAATATGCATTCATAACATTACCAAGCACACAATGTCCCTCTGAAGACCCCAGATTACATGAAGAACAGAAACTCTATAGTCCCCAGGTCTGATATCTAGTCAAGGCAGGCAAACCTCAAGACATAATAAAATCCAACAATCAGCTCTTTCTTTAATCTACACAAACAGATTGTAAGTCAATTTAGCTACAGTGAATAAACACAAAACTGTGATTGGGTTGTGTCTGCTTCAATATCTGATCTAAATATTAATGTCTGGAAATTTTTACCTGGTATCTGGGATTGAAACCCATATATTGATGGCACTGTTCACAGTGATGGTAGGTGTTATACGCTGCATACTTGGATAATCTCATTCTAGTTGTTTGACGGTGGGTGTACATATCCTCCTGCCTTCTGCTAATGGGTCTGTCTATTAAAAACAGAAACAAAATGTATGTAACATAAATTCAAGGCCAGAATATATTCCTTTGTGACAAATTGTTTCTGTCACTTAAATTAAATTAAAGAACGATGGCAGGATTAAACACATGCAAAACAAGGTATAATTTCATTCTGAGCATTGTAGTGGTAAGTCCATAAACTTGCTGAGGTTGCAATATTTCCCTTTGATTGGGTTATTAAAGGCAATCTTAAACAGCATTTTCCCCACTATCAGTCCCTAGGCATTGCCATGCATAAGTAGGTCAGACTTTATGCCACACCACACTTGAATGAATTCCTATGCACTTCAAAATTGACCTGTCTAAACTCTCTCTCTCCAACTTTGGCTATAAAGATATTACAGAAGACACTGACAAAAACCTCACTGAAGTCATTGATCTTCCTTTTTCCATCCTGCCAGTCCTCTCATGATAAAAGGCAATTAGGTTTGTCAGTCATTATTTGCCTATGATTCCTCCATGCTAGCTGTTCCCAATCACTGTCCTATTCTTTATGGTCCTGGACATGATTTGCAGGAGGGTTGGATCCATAACTGTTTTGTGGACTGAGAGTGGGCTGAACAGGCAGTAATTGCTTTGGCCTTCCTTCTTGTCCTGAAAAAGAAAGGCATTTTTGCCTTTTTTCAATCACCAGGAATCTCCATCCACTGTCGTTACCTTCTAAAGGTGGTATGATGTTGGCGAGCACTCTTGGTGTGCTTGGATGCATCCTACCCATGCTTCCCCAGCTGGCTTACGTATGGGACCCTAAGATAAGAGTTATTTCACCTGGCCATAGACATTTTCATTTGCTATTTGCTTGTAAGCTAGATGAGTGCTACAGACCGCAGAAAGACACAAACACATCTGCAATGCACGTGCCCTAATTTAAATGCGTACTTTATCTAAAGTTTACTTCAGAGGTGCTTATTTCTTATGAAGAATTATTAAAGGAGTCCAGAGGACTATTTCACACCTTAATTCTACAGGAATTTAAATCTGAACACATACATATCACCTTTTCCAAACCTAAACCAAATAAACCTATTAAGATCTCTAAGAACATAAAGAACAACATTGCAATAGAAAACATTAAAATGCTCACTTTTTGTGGGATCAGAGTGTTTTTAATGAGACTACCTCTTCAATATGCCATAAAACACTAATAAGGCTACTAATCTAGTGTTTCATCTGACAAACTACAAATCTTTTTTCAATTATTATTTAGTCAAGTACAATTCTGACAGTTTTACACTGTTTAAAAGTCAACATGATTCACCTGCTAAAACCAAATAAATGTATGTATGTGTAACATTCAACAGACTTTTCAAATTCTAACCTTCACTGTTTACAGCCTGAAGCTTGGAACAAATCAGACTTGCATCTTCATATTTTGGGTCATGGATAGTATAGTCAAAAGGGATCTTCTTAAACATCTCCAAATCTGGCCATGTATCTCCAGGCTGATGGTAGCATTGATCTGATTCTTCTTTTATGTCTATGAAATTATTGAAAAATAAAAAGTAATGAAATTACAATTGCAAATATGCCTTTTATTATTATAGAATGTTTTGCTATGAGTACAATCTTGCATCATTTTTTTTAATCATTCTCATTAAACAACATTATTATGCATAAAGAGGTGCAGATTTGAACAAATATACCTCATTTCTCACTGCAATTTTGGCTTTTAATTCATAATGAAAACAATTTTTAAGGCGCTAGTAAGGCTGATTTACCTGTATCTGGACATTTGCAGTCTTTCCACTGCACATTTGAGAGCTGAGTGGAGAAAAAATACTTACTGGGATAAAGAAACTCCACAAAAAAACTTATTGGGAAAAAGAAACTCCACCTCAGAAACTAGGTGTTAAGTACCGTGCAGAGTTAAAGTCAGATGCCTCTTCTAAGGGGAACTAAAGGCCAGAGGAACTGAAATCAAGCTTTTTTTGAAACAGGGAAATTGGCATAAAACAAACCAGCAAGCCAACAAACATATGCACAGTAATCCTAATGAAATACTTTTTTACTTTTGTCAAGAGGATGAAAGTAGTGAAAAGTTCAATTTGGGGATCAGTTGCCAGCTATTGTAAAGAGCTACAACTCAGTGGCTATTAATATTAATTGATTATTTAAAATTATTATAAATTATTTAAAATCCAAAGTAAATATGAACTCAGATGGAATTAATCAGATGGTGAATTTCCAATAGAAGGGCATTCGTTACATTCAGTATTCCTTGTGCCTGCATAAACCCTTCATCTTTGTAACCTTCTAAATCAGCTTTTCAATTTGGCATATTATTCTGCACAACTACTTTGCTCAGAGCTGTATTTAATGACAGAAGTGCAGTAAAATCAGGAAAAGATGTCATCTGCTGCATGAAGTTAATGCAGTACGAGTCAGGTTGTGATTTTAAAGCATAGACACTGTTCCATGCTCCCATTTCCTTATGGCACCCAACTTTCACTTGTGATTTTGTGTTGATTTAACTTGCCATGTTGGTTGCTAACAACAACATCAGAGTTTGGCTTTCCAGTCAGGTTACCAGATCTTCCTACATTCCTGCTCAGCCCCATGCTGAACTCGGTGGCCATGCAGCTGTCCTCCTATCAAACCCTGGGCTTTATAGATATAGATAATAGATAAGCTATTCTACTATTATATGATTTCTCTATCCATAATTGATCCATAATTACTGTGGCTGAGTATCTAGAATTAGGAGAGAGTGAGTAAATGATAATTTTAGAATTTCAGACTACAACTAGTTATTAGAAAGCAGGAAATGTTTTTTTCTTCATGTGGTCTTATGTATTTAGAAAATATAACATTGCTCCTGGCAATACAAATGTGTCAGTGTTTCACTGATTGCTTTTATGCAGTTTGCCTCAAAAGTTCATTCCAATTTTAAACTTAAAAATGATGGCTGGATATCATCAAATGAACATAAAAGCAGATAGTTATTTACCAAGAAAAACAGAGGTTTGTGGAGAGGAAGGCTAAACTCTAAATGATGACTGAAATATTAAAATGTTCTTAAGTATCAGTTGAAGATCACAAAAAAATCTAAAAATATTTCAACAATATTTCTAATTGCTGAGGTGAACAGTATAGAATATGCAGAAAAAAAAAAATACTGCTTAAATTAATATAACAAGTCTCTAAATTCTCCAGAAACAAATTATATTTATATATTATTTATAACAAGAACTTACTAATGTTGATTTCTTCCTCATCATAAACATCCACTTCCGTCAGCCTGATCAGCATTCTGGACAAAATACTGAGGAACTGCAGGTAGGCACCTGTTTTCCCTATCTGTAAATATACAAATCAGAAAATACAGAACTTTCATTTTCATCTGGAAATTGCGGCTGAAGTGAAACCAAATATTAATATTCAGTGTTTGCATATCCCTGTACTTTCCTATTCCCAACCATAAACGACAAGCTCAGGTGCTTGATGTTTTTTAGGTGCTCTTCATGTTGCAAGTTAGTTTGGAAAATGCATTTTGTGTCACGGGTCTAATTATAAGACAGCAAACTTGAATTTTCTCTCTTACAGTTGCTAAAATGGCAATGAACATTTAAAAATCCACACAAACTCCTAAAGTGTTCTAAAAACAATTCACGTGATGTAAAATAACAACATAATTACTTCAGTTCTTTTGTATTTGCACAGTTCATCAGCATACTGAGTGCTGTTGAAGTATCCTGAAGGAAGAAGTGTCAGACCTCTATTGGAGAACTTGTCCAGGCCACATCCAGTCCTTTTGTAGGTTTTTCAGCCACAGCCAGCGTTTAACTCAATTAATTGCTCAGTGTCTTCCACATAAAGTTTACTGATGATCACATGAAGAAATAACACTGTTACACTTTGAAAGGACGCAGTACAGAAGGGGAGAAAAAAAGAGACCTGCAAACTCATTTCATTCTGACAGGAGAATACGGAGTGAAGTTAACACATAGGTCAGTTATGGCATGTTCTCCTTCTGCAACTAGTTGTTCTCAGGTAGTTGAATAGAATTTTGAAATACATCTACATTAGTACTGCATTTAAACCCCAGCTTTCGTTGCCAGTGCTGGGCTATGTCAGCAACATCGTGTACTGAACAATTTAAAACAGTGCTGGACTTAATATTTTCATATTTCAAGTAGCTTTTTCATTTTCTCTCAACACTTGAGTCTTTGAAGATGGAACAAGAGCAAGTAAACATTTGCTTTTGTCAAAGTTCATCCCTGTTATTCTCAGTAAACTAGACAGCACTTGGATGAGTGTTTGGCAAGGCTTGAAAAGGTTCCCTTTTCCCTGCTGAGGGTAAAATAAGCCCATAGACCATGTGTTCTGCTAGCACACAACTCCATGTTGTCCAGGGGTAATACAGGAAGAAGTTACTTTCCATTAGAGCACAGCCCCATGGTTGAGATATTTCTGAGTCCCACTCTGAGTTTTCATATAAAATCCTTTGAGACTCATGAGAATCTTTTTACTAAGTTTGGAGCAAAGCTGTAAGCTTCAATGAAATACCTGTTCATTGGTAAGCAAGGCAAAACTACTTCATTCTCCACATTTGTGGCAAACTTGATCATACTTTGTTTTATTAGAATGTATTTTCTACATTTTTTTCTCACAGCAGTGATTACATTTCTATGCCATTATGAATGTACTCTTTGTACATGCTTCCCACCATCCTCTGATTAAACATTAAGTGGCCTGACAGATTGAGAGCTCCGTAATTTTGAACAAATGAGAGATAAATTGTCAAAAGTACAGAGCTGTCATTCCTAATCTGTTTTAAGCGTATTCTTAGAATTGTCAACAGGCTGAAAGCCTTACTTTTCCCTTTCAGTAACCATTTAAAACTTGCTCTATCAAAAACATCCATTTTCTGTTAGCTCAGGAAACAAGTTTTCACAAATAGTTTTCAACAATACATCTGGGGTCAGCAGGCTAACTCTAAGTGGTACTTAGATGAAAGGTAGCAATAGTCTGTTGATTCAGATATACAAAGCAGTCGGATCACAGATTGAAAATGCTGAAAACCGTTCAGCATTTTTCAGGGATTGAAAATATTGGTCTCTCACCAGGAAACTAAAACATATGCACTTTTGATATTCCATGCATCACATCTTACCTAATCTCATTATCTGTCAGCTAAAAACTGTCCAGCATAACATTGAGCTTTGTGAACTGCTAGGTATTAGCAGCACTGCATGGAAAATGCTGGTGGGAGCAGGCAGGAATCTCTCATTTTCAGACTGCTTCTCTGCAGGTAGAGAACCCAGGCTGAACACATGACCGAGTTTTTACTTTGACTCTCCTCACTCACATATTTGCCAGCATTTTCTGCTGAAGAAATAACTTGCTAAAATACAGAACACTTTTTTCAGTTCATTTAGAGAGCAAAAGATTCAAAAGAAAAATGACTTCCACTTGACAATCAACATTTTCTTCAGAAGGGAAGAGCCTTGAAAATCTGAATTTATAACATGCTCAGGTAGGTAAATGTGCCTTTAAATTCAATAATATGATTTCTGTGTTTTTTATGTGCCATCACTTGACCAGATGGAAATGCACAAAGTGTCAGCTTGCTTGACAGTACTGAGGATTTGTCATTACACACAGCTGCCAGATCTCTCCAAAGAATTCTTGTCTCGTATGTCACTACCCTTCTTTTAGATCAGTTTTTTGGGGCATCCACAAAGAGATGCTGCAAGCAGGATAAGTCACCTGGGGGCCATACCTTGTCAGATAATTGAAGTTTTACTCTAATTTGTTTCTGGGTATCTGAACATGAAAGATAGAAGTCTGATGAATTAGAATTTGAAGGAGAAGATCACAGAAGACTTAAGTTGCAAAAATCTCATACTTTGTGAAAACTTGCAATAAATAAGGAATGAGAATCCTGCAAAGATTTAGCATTTTGGTTTCTATTTTCATCCTAAATGCAAGGCATGATTTTGTGAGATACATAAGGATATGTTTACTCCGCAACTGTTCATTCATGAAGATTGTAGATGTACAAGAGCAAGAGGAGAGAACATGAATTCAAATCCTTCCCACAGAAAATTCCAGAACAAAGGTTCATCTTTTGTGTCAAAGACCTGCAGTACCTACAGGAGTGGAAGCTGTTAAAAGATTTTGGTCACTGAACTGTATTTTCCATAGATATCTATAATAAACTGAAAACAAACTAAAAACTGGAGATTGAGAGAATCCAGTCAGAAAAATTAGATGTGCTTATTCATAAAGTGGTCATCCAAAGGTCTGTTGTAGCAGGTCTAAGAGCAATGAGTTTCTCTATTTTTTTTTTATTTTTTATTTTTATTTTTTTTTAACTTGTTCCAATCATTAGACATCGGGAGCACTGGAAGTACTTTATTATTCTCACATGTTTCTAGAAAGTACCCCTGATAACAATCTTCACATCTGGAGTAATTTATGGCAAAAGTGGAAATAATTCCATAAGGCTTTGCTACTTTAATTTCCAGGTGAGACAGTTCTTCACATACCACAGCAGTGGTTTTCAGACTGTGGTCTGCGAACCAGTGTTGATTCATAGAAAATATTCTGATGGTCCACAGACAGCTGGTCAAATGGTGCTGGGTCTTCTCCTTGTTTCCACTTGCTATGTTCTGCTAAAAGACAGCTAACAAAAAATATATTAAATATTTCCCTAATACTTTTATTACATTAGAAGAATGGCATTTAAGCCCATTGTACTAAAATTTTAGGAAAAGGAGAGGAGACCCAAACAGTATGAGCAGCAGTTTTCTTCCTCAGGAAATGTCTTAAGATGGTTTTCATCCCCTGAGAGAACTTCTATGATCAGGAATGGGCAGTTACTTACAGACTATGAGCAGCTTACCTGCCTATGGAAAATGCTAGTTCTAGGCTTGTAATATTCAGGTATAAAAACAGCGGCACAAAATTTTCATTTGCAGTTTGGAGAATTTTAAGATAAACGTTTCTAAGAAAAATATTTCAGTGAATTTAGACTTCCTGATAGGCATTTTGTTCAACGTCATTCATTTCTACCCATAGCTATGATACTTGTTCATGCTCACTAAGCAATGTGTTAGCTGCATGATCCAATGCAACACTAGGAAAAAACCCACACTATGGATATAACACCATAAAATCATATGGAAGAGGCCTCAAAGATCACCTACTCCAAGCACCCAATTACCACTAATATTGCCCATTAAACCATGTCTACCATTTCCTTAAACACCTCCAGGGACAGTGACTCAATCACCTCCTTGGGCAGACTGTTTCAGTGCCTGACCACTCTTTCTGAGAAGAAATTCTTCCTAATACCCAATCTGAACCTCCCTGACATAACTTGAGACCATTCCCTCTAGTCCTGCCTCTAGTTATGCAAGAAAAGAAGTTGACTCCCACCTCACCACAACCTCCCTTCAGGACATTGTAGAGAGCACTAAGGTCCCTTCTGAGCCTCCTCTTCTCCAGACCAAACTATCGTAGTTCCCTCAGCAATTTCTCATTAAATTGTGCAGACCCCTCAACAGAAATATTGCCCTTCTTTGGACACGCTCCAGGGCATTTATGTCCTTCTCATAGTGAGGGGCCCAAAACTGAATGCAGTACTTGAGATGAGGCCTCATCAGAGCTCAGTACAGAGGGATCACTTCCCTGCTTTTGCTGACTGCACTATTTCTGATATAATCTAGGATGCCATTGGTCTTCTTAGCACTGCTGATCCATGATTAGCCTAGTGCTGACCAGCAATTCCATATCCTTTTCCTCGGTGCAGCTTTCCAGCCACTCTGCTCCAAGCTGTAGCATTGCCTGGGGTTGTGACCAAAGTGTAGAGCCCAATACTTGGTCTTGTTGAACTTCATCCCGTTGGCCTCAGAACATCAATCCAACCTGTCCAGATCTCTCAGCCCTTCCTACACTTCCCCACAGCTCGGTGTCATCTGCTAACTTACTGAGGATGCACTCAGTGCCGTCATCCAGATCATGAGTAATTAAACAAGATGGGCCCAAATACTGACCCCTGGGGACCAGTTGCCAGCTGGATTTAACTCCATTCACCACCATTCTCTAGGCTCAACCTTCCATCCAATTCTTCATTCAGCAAAGAGCGTACCTGACAAAGACATGGGCTGCCAGCTTCTCCATATAAGTAGAGAAAGGATGGAATTTCACGTAAAGAAAGTGATATTAAAGGTGTCATTCACTGCTGTACAAGGGGCCCACAGGAGCCCTATTCTGTATTTGAAAAAGAGTTTCATGTGATAGTTAAAGGTGGTGAATATCATATACCATGGTAGGGAGCTAACGAATGAGCAAGCTGCTTGTCTCAATATAACTAGCTAAATGTCACATGTCATGTGTTAAACAACAAGTCCTTCTGATGGATATGTAGAATGCTTTCAGAGGTCTCTAAATGACTATTTTGAGAAACACAGGCTTACATCTGAGACCCTAAACCATATGCTTCACGATCAGGTGAATACTAAAGCAGTATTTACATATCAGTAAATCTGAATTTTTATGGTGTCTTTGGGAATAGTCTCTTTGTGAGTTGTGATATGTATAAATATAAAATTCTACAAAAAATTGTCACAGCTTATGTTTTTCTTAGAGATTGATGTCAACAACCTGCTGCAGAATGTTATTTTTTGGTCTGCACCTTAATATGACATTCATTTTCTTGATTGTGTAACACTTCAATCTTTGGCACACACAGGCAATTTACATTAAAAGAATTGAGAGTATTGTATAACTCCTAATCGAAGTACTTTCTGGAATCCTTTACACATTACAGTAAAATTAACAGGAACTTTCAATACGAAAAGCCCATTTATGCTCTTCTTACTTCACTGCAATATACATTTGGTACTATGGAAAAAAAATATTTAATAAATAGCAATATATATAGTTTCCTTTTCCAGTCAATAGGCACGAATGGCACTTATAATAGGCATAAATCCATATGGGTGGATCAAGATAAGGCAGGTAACTACATTTAGATGAACTTTTTGTTGATACTAGAGCAACAGGAAACATGAGTCTTTGGTTTGATTTTTCCTTTCTGACTTCTGATGTTCATGTGATGTAAATATGCTCATAGACATGTGGTCTCATTGCTTCAGGAGAGTGTGAGAGGCACAGCATCAGACTTACTATGTAACATGTGTACTGAACTAGGAGATGTCTTACTCAGACATAAGTATTAAACATTCTCAGAGAATTTAAAAGACAAGCAAGGAACTTCTTAGGACAATACCCATTTTTATGCATAATTTGAAATAAATTTACAAACTCTTGGTTAGTATTCACCTTGTAAATAAAGCTCTGCTAATGTTGAACAGGTCTTCTTGCATGTGCTACCTACAACAGCTTCTAAATTTCTGCCTGTCATGTGGAGGAAACAGAAAATACCTCAACTGCAAAGTTCCAGCTATCTTTAGATTGATCCTGGGAAGTGTTTTTGTGCTGATCTTTGATGTTTATTTAAAATGTAAATGCTTATTCAACTTTGACAGAAATGATGCATGAAATCTATCTTCCAAGCAAGCTATGTTTGAAAACATTTTAATGGAAAGAGACTGACAGAAAATGAATATTGCTCCAGATTGTCTTTGAACTCAAACTAACAGTAAAGAATAAAAGATCATTTTATTAGAAGGGAGTTGAGAAATAAGGAAATAAAATATGAGCAACTTACTCTCCACATAAAAAATGTTTCAAGTACGAAGAACAATAACTAATCTGTTTTTGTAGATGATGATAAAACTGAATAACATAAATGGATGATAATACCTTGCTCTTATTACACACCTGTGGTGGCCCACTCAGCAGCAGTCTCCTTGGGTGAAAGGTGTCCATTCTGCCCTCATTTCTATTATTGTAGTCCATATGGATTGGCTTGGGCACTGTCCATTGGCGGTAGTATAGAGACTGCTCTGTGCAAGTCATCATCTTACTCATAAGAGGACGAAAAGAACTTGCCCACATCACAGAGTGGTAAGGCAAAAGGGAAGATGATTTTGGAAGTCCACTGCTGTCCGTAGAGGTAATAATGTCATAAACCAGTTTGGGCAGGAAAACTATGGGAGGCTGTTTTGATGATTTAGTCATGAAGCATTGAGAGGTCTGTAAGATGAAGGAGTTATGAGTAGGTGCAGAGGAGGAAGAAGAGGAAGAGAAAGGTGAGGAAGATGAGGAGGTGATGGAAATTTGGGCACTTTTTAGGTTTTGTTTTGTATCAGGTTGTTCATTTCCCGGAGGTAAGTGTTTGCTGATTGTTGTTTGTGCCCCCTTGTCTACCTTCTGCTTCTGCTTCTCATGGCTATTTGTAGTTTCTTCGGTGCTGTTACTTAGGACTTGGTGGGGGGATTTTGCTCTGTCTCCTGCTGTTACTAAAGGAGGAGATGGCTCGCTGCAGAATGCTGTAACTAAAGGAAAATTATATTTCAATACAACATAATATTTTAATGTAAGTGCAATAATCCCAGCTAGTCAATGACACAGCAAAACACTGAAAAATTGCTTAGATACAGTACCAGTCAAATAATGCAGCCCTATAGCTCCTGCTATCTTTCAGCTTCCTCATACAGAAAGTCTTAATGAGATTAGGTGGGAGTATTTGTCTCAATGCAGCAAGTGCCTTTCCAAGAACTTACGTTCATAGGAAAGGTGTGATTGACCTGTCCTCAGCCATTCCCTATTTCATCAGATATCCTCATCACTCAAGACTATAAAATTCTGTAAACTTTTGTTCAAAAGGGTGAAAGAAAATTAGTACCCATTGGCTCTTACCCCATCAAACTACAGAAATCTCCACACAAAAACAGTTCTCAGCTCTAAGTCAGCTCTGATTCCAAACTCATGTTTGTGATACTGAAACACAAACTGACATAATATAACTCAGCTCTCAAGACTTTGGTGCTATGAAAACATCCAGCCTTTGGTCAGCTCAAAGCAGAAACTGAACTCATCAAGACTGGCCTTGACCACCACATAGATATAGCTCATAGCTCTTTACTGATTCTCTGAAAATGGTGTACTTTTATTTATATATTCTAACTACAATGATCTCTTGAGAGTTTGAGGCTTCATTTTGAATGGCTCTGAGCATCTTTAATCTCAATAACCTCCAAAAAGGAGATGTAAAGACTGCGCAGTCCTCAGAGTAGACTGAACACTGGCTCAGGAATCAGTCTCCTTGTGTTAGTAAGAATGTCTGTCTGAAGCTAGACATAGATAAAAGCAGCTTTCCATTTCTAGTGAAAACAAAAGTCTGTGTTCTCAAACAACAACAACAAAAAGCAACAAAGCAGATTCTGAACTAATAAAAGAGTCTGTAGCTTTTCTTGGTCTCAAGAAATGGTAAGAGATCCTAGTTGCAGATATTAATCTAAAGCAGCCACCAAATGATGTTTGCAATGAAGATGAAAATAAATCATCAGCAGCATGAATGGTTTCAAGAAACCACCGTAACATCCTGCAGAATATCAGTATCCCAGAGCACAAGGAAAAAAAGAAAGAGAAAAGAGAAAAAAAAGATTTGTTTAATCACAAGCAAATTCAGGCTACACGGCCACATGCAGGCCATATGGATCCTGCAAACTGAAGAACAGATTAAAGAAGAAAAAGCATTTTTCACATTAAAGCTGTTAAAAATCTTATCAAAAATGTCTGCAAATCTTGTCTTTTTCTTTCCTTTTATAACCACTACTGTGTTTGTAGAGAAGAAACCATGGCTAAATATGCATGTCAGCATGGTGAAAACTACAAGCAGATCAAAAAGAAGGTATTGTGACTCAAAAGCAGCAACGTTTTGAAAAGCTGCAGGACATTGTAACACCTACATAACAGTTTGTCTTCTGAACCTTCATTCAACACTCCCCCTGTTATCTGCATTGAAAAGCATTCAAATAAACTTAACAGACAAGAAGCTCAGGTAATTCTCAACATTGTCACATGCTTCATGCAACAATTTGCAGATTGAAAAGGAAACAAAGATTTAAGAAAAAAGATCCACCTCCAAAGGAGCTTCCAAACAGTGCAGATTTAATGAATGAACATTCCAGAGCAAAACAAAAAAGACAAAGACACGAACAAGACTGAGAATTCTTTTCTTCCTACGGATTTTCAAAAGATTATTTAAAACTGTTGAATTGTCATCGCTTCAGTGAACGCACTCAGTACTAAGGATTCAAACCTAAGTGTCACACATTAAAGGAGTACCTGTTTTAGGTAGCCTGTCCTATGTTTACTTTCCAAGCAAGAAATCATCTGCTTGTATTTAAGAAGTCTGATTCTAAATTACTTTTTTAGAAGTTACCTATGATAATCTCATTAAAATAGGCCTTGCCAAAAGCTGACTGATTTGTGCCTTTTTTTTTCCCCCTTTCTTTAACAAGCTGAACAGAAGGTTTTTTATCTATCCTAAATACAGCTTAATAGAAATAAACTTAAGGACTTACTGGAAGCTTTTGAAGAGAGAGATGAAGATGCAGAGTCATGAGAGTGAGATCTTTCTCTTTTCATAGGACTTCTCTTTTCTGAAGTAGAACCTGTTTCATGAATAGTAGCAGAGGAAAACAAAAGCAAAGCATAATTAAAGTAAGCCTGTAAAAAGTGATGGCTATATTGTTGAAATAAGGAAGAGCTCACAACTTTAGATGGAACCAGCCAGATTTGATGTATTGCAACCCTGACCATGGCAGGGGATTGGAACTGGATGGTCTTTAAGGTTCCTTCCAACCTAAGCCATGATTCTTTGATTTGTCTGGATTCTGTCCTCCTTCTGACACTGTATTCAATGTGTTCCTACCATGCAGCATTGGATTAGCCTATAAAATATTCTAATTATGTTGAACTGCAGTACAACTTACAAAATCAGTTCTGCTGCCAGGAGCTGACACGTCACAACTGTGTTTTACCTTTCATACCCAATTAGTGTCAGTGAAACCAACTGACAAAGTGCTCTGTTTTGTCAGTGTGTTATGAACTACCTCCTACCCATTGCATAACAGCTTTATGGATAAATTATATCTCAGCTTTTGATGATGACAGTCCCTCAAGGGCATTTGCTTGAGGTTCCTAACTTAGCTTTCTATGCCAAAATGTTTTTGTTTTTTTTTTCTTTTTTTTTTTTTTTCATGTGGTTTAGCAATAATAAACAGAGGCAAAAAGCACTGCGCTCAGTCTATCATCTGAGCTGATGTTCTAAATTGAACTCCACGGGAGTACACCATACTTCACAGACCAGGAGAGCAGCCTTATAACCTCAGTGCACCTTGGACTCAAATTACACCAACTTACTTCAACTAAATGGACAGAAATATTCATCACACCTAAGGTAGGCCTCTCTTAAGAAATAATAACCTCTCCAACTCTACTATTTCAGTATGAGTTCAAAGACAGACAATGAATGGAAGAACTTGAAACCCATTTCTCATTTTCTAATATATCACATTTTTCTAATATATCACATGTATTTTTCTAACACAGCTCAATCATTTTACACCTCTTATTATCACTGGTAGCAGTACCTTCTGTTGCTATTTCTTCATCTTCATTATCAGTGCTGCTTAGTTTCTCTGGGTCGCTTTCCAACACATCATTCACAACTGCTTTCTCAGTGTGAATTTCTGAGCTCACAAAGTATGCTGCCAAACCAAGCTCTTGCTCCAAAGTTGTCCTTACTAAAGAAGATGAATTTATTAAACGTAGGTCACAGTATCTCAGTGATCTGGAGAGAAACAGATGAGAGAACATGAGAACTCACTGTACTCTATTTCTTTTCCAGACACAGCCAAAGGGGAATATTTTTTACAATCTGCTTAAGCTACACATGAGACAGAACAAGGTAGATTTTTGGTGTTTAATAAGTTTTCCATTATGGTGCATATGGTTTTATTATTCTTTATCTAGTTAAGCAGTTTAATCTGGTGCACTGAACATTAGCATCAATATAAGAAAAAAAAAAAAGGTATCATTTTGGATTTAATTGAACAAACAAAAACATTTAGTGCAATTTTGGTGGTCCTAGGGCATCTTGTTTGCCTTTCAGCTTCAACTCCAGAAGGCACAGACCTCTACACATGTCCTGCTGGATATACACCAATATCCTGCACATATCTCAGCTGCTTTGAGGTATCTAAAGTAGCTATAGATACTTCTTTTTTACATACCTTTATACCATGACAACTCATAATATTTTTAAGTTACTAATATTAAGTTACTGTAAAAGCAGGAGATTATTACTAATAAACTTTTTTATTTACAATATAAAAATTTACAAAAAAATGGAAAAGCATCTTTGACACTGAAATGTTTTCTTCCCCACAGGTATTTAAACAGTTAATTTTTAGCCATCCAATAAGCAAGGGTAAAGAACTCCCACTGAGAAAATACCAGATCTACTTACCGTGGTAAAGACTCCCCTTGTGGATCCATACCACTGAATATTAATATACAGGGCAAACCTTCCAGTTCCAAATAGGTCTGTGGCCTCCAATCTACATCTTCAATTTTCTGCCAGACCTGCATAAGAGACACTATTGAACATCCTGGCAAGGCACAAATGATCACATATTTTATCATCCATTGTTTGAATTGATTTGCACGGTGGATGGATGTTCCACCAGAGTAAGCCACATGGCAGAGCCAATTTCAATACAGGTAGATTGTACAATTCCTAAAGAGTTACAGGTAGCAATCTGCCTGATGTAAACCTGAGGAGAACAGACAGCATGTTCTGGTCTGAAAAGTCTCCCTGTCTCCCAGCTGCACAGCACTAGGACTAGGGCATACATGGATAGAGTGGATATGGTACATCAGGCAATAAAGATGAGTAGGAGCTTCCGGGGAGAGAAAGGGTTGCTTCTTGTGATGGATAAATTACAGAAGGAAATGAGGCTATTTCACCATAGAGGAATAGCATGAAGCTGGAAGTACTGAAGTTTTGAACACACACATTACACTGATCTCACTTAAGCCTCTCACTCTGAAGCCTCCTACTCTCCATCAAAGTTGTCAATTTTCCTAATAGTGTAATGAGAAATTTGATAACTAGTTCTGTCATTTGAATGTTTAGCATCAGGTTATACTACTTTATTCATACCAGCCAATACTTTCTGCTGTGAGATTGACCTACAGATAAGGAATACACAGCAGGAACAACAGTATGATAGTTCCACTTCTGCCACTTACACACTTATTACCACTACTGTGAATGTCTGGGAAGACAAATGGGATGTGATTTAGAATATTGATTTTTCAGAAGAAGTTATTCATGACACAGTAGGATGAGCTTTAGGCTCTGGACGTCAAATGACTGTCTAACACATCAAATTAAGCACAGAACAGTACAATAAACATTTTTGCTAGAGCAAACAGATGGCAGTGTTATGAAGAGCAAGAAAATACCAGAGCCTTTTGTTACATACATGACTTAAGATTCTGGACATAAAGGGTATAAATGAATCTTTGAAATAACACACGGTCCAGAAAGAATTAAGTACCAGATTGTGAATTCCAAACCTATAGGCAGCATCACCAATTTGGTGCCTTTATGCCATCTGCTGGTGAGAAGAATAATATAAATCTTAACCAAAGAAAATCCATGCAACAATGACTTTGTGAGAAAATTGTGACAGTTCTATATGTCTGTTTTCCCTGTTGTTGTACATAAAAGCAGTTCAGCTGTTTGGAAGGGTTGCTGCAGGAAGCCAAGCTCTGGCTCTATCCGTTAATATTCAACTGAGTAACCAGAAAGTAACCATTGGTAGGACAGTAAAGGAATCACAGATTATTTGTCTACAGTCAAAAGTTGTGCTCCTTGCAGTAATTTTGAGTTTTTCCAGTATGAACCACGCTTCAGCTCATGACCATATCTCTCACCAACAGTCTCCCCATCTACCCAACTAACGAAGTTTCCCAGTATATGTCATTCTGCAAGTTACCTTTAGTTGCTCCACAAAGTGCTTCCCTATAGTGATTCCAGAATTAGGATTTCCCAAGATTATTTCAAAGTTATCTTCAAGGGCTAGTCTTTCCCTTACATTATACAGACGTTCATATGCCACTGCAGCCAGTGGGGTACATGGAATTCTCAACACTACCATGAGGCCATGACCACTAGGACACTGTCTTGAAGAGTTTATTAGGTTTTGGGTGATTTCCAGAGTTTCAACTGAGGTGTAATTCTTCATCTGAGAAAGACCACACACTGCCATCATAGCTGCAGAGTAGTGTTGTATGAGGACAAAAGTCCTTATCACTGCACTGTGTAATCTGGGAAACCTGAAATAAAGGTTAAATAGTGAAGTATTAAAGTAAAAAAAGCTGATGTTCTCCAAAATATAGCAAACTCAGGACTTTCTCCTGCAAAGAACCCTTATCATTTACTGTCCAAAATTACAGTTTGATAGTCCTTGCAATAACACATCATTTCACAATCAGAACTGAAGTGGTCTCCCTATTGCTCAGTAAGGATTTTATAAGCAAGTAGTTCATCAGTGTTACATCACTTCAAGTTATCAACACTTTGCTGCTGTTAGAAAATTTGTCACAGAATATTTGCTAATGCACTCAGCAACACCATCAATCAAAATGCATGCACTCGTCAATGAAAACAGTACTCTTCATGACATTAGCATTAGGGTTTTTCCTATTGCGTTCTTACTCAAGCTGTGTATCAAATTACTCTTTTTTTCCAAGAGGACTGAATATGTAGTCAGCACTCAATGAGCAGGACTAAATATGTAGGCAGCACTCAATGAGCACTCCAAATTTCCAAGCCCAGGTACACCCTGCCTTAATGCCCACTCTATGAGAGGGAGAGATGTGGAAATGTAATAGCTTCCTTTGCTCTGATTTTCCACAAAAATGAAACCAGGCCTGCTCAGAGAAGTACCTGATGTGCGTGACCAGAGCTCCATGTCACCCTGTAGCAAATGCTAGTAGCGAATTGTGGACATGCTCATTCTCTCAGTTAGCAATACAAATTTGCAAGACTCTACTCATCCTGTCTTAAAATTCTTACAGACTCCAATATCATCCGCAGTTGCATGCCTTCACATAATATGTCATTACACTTTTCAGTGGCTCCATAATTACTGTTGATATATTTTCAAGCTGGGAAGCTTCTCTAAAAATTTTACCACTGATTTAAGTACACAAAATATAGTGATATACCTCCTTCCCTTTTTATATGGTATACAAAAATGATACATTAAAAAAAAAAAGTCAGCTATGGCCAGCAAGTGATAAAATTGGACTAAAGTTACATTAGAAATCATTTGGTTGTGCAGTTTTCAATTACTGTAACATAGAATTATCTGCTGTAACCAAGCACACACACTAATATGGGTTGAACAGTGTGCAAGTTTATCTAATGAATTCATCTGAACTGATTAGATCACAGGCCAAATATATACTGAAAAAAAAGATGAGAGGATGAGATAAGAACAAATGAAATAATTTGTAAGACAGTGAGACTAGAATATGCTCCCTATGTTTCCTTCATTAAACTAAGGATTGTACCATACCTCTTTCCCAGAGCCATGACCATTGCTTCAAAAGAGCTGTCATACCGAAGCAGTGGGATACTATGCCCAGACAGAGTGGATTCAATGAATTCTGACAGTCCAAAGTATTTCTTGTTTTCATGATATAAATCTACACCCTAGGAGAAATGAAGCAGTAGAATTTTAAAGGTAAAAATCTACCAATTATTAATTTATAATTGATTAATCATCGGTATCTGCAGTCACATTCTATAATAGGCATAATATATTCAGGCATATAATATACAGGAAGAAAGAAAAAGTTGGTTTTTGGAGAGAAAAGAAGTTATACTCCATTTTCCATGTTTCTTTCCTCTCTTCCCATGTAAACATACAGACAGAAAATCTATGTAGGTAAAAATATGTGAAGAAATTTCATATATCTATTTATATTTATGCAGTAACACACTAGAAACAGATTTTCTAGATGATTTCTACCTATGTAACTCAAAGGTTTATAGCAGTTACTAGAGTTTACTAGTTACTAGTTACTAGAGGAGATATAAAATATATAAAGATAATAAGCAAGAAATGACAGAAGAAGCAAAAGGAAAAAAAACTTGACATAGACTGTCACAGACCATGCAAACTTCACTCAGCTTACACAAAAATTATCAGGCCTCCAGAGTTTCAACAAGTATATAAAAGTAAAATAACTCATGAAAAGCTCACAAAATCACCTCAGAGCATCCATCTTACATTGCTGTATGAAGAAGGCCAGTGGATCTCATTGTAAGGGCTGATGTGAGTGTGCTGCGTCTGCAGCGCATAAGGAAAGGAAGTCACATGGAGCGTCACAATGTTGGGCGCCTCTTTCACCTCCCTGCAGTTCAACAGTCTATCAACAAGTCCCGTAGACAGTTCTGTCTGAGGATAAAGGCTATGCATAGCACTGCAAAACAGAAACCCAAAACTCTCCAAAGCGATTGGCTCAAGGGAGATGTGAAATCAAAGTTAAATGCAAACAAGGAGTTTAGGATTCTATTCATTACCCTGATTTAGCTGCATGAAAGGAGAGGAAAATAAATGTGTTATTTCACTGCAGCTGAATATTTCTTTAAGTCTGGTTAACTCTATAGCTAGCAAATTACTGGTCTCTTACGGCCACAGGCATATGAAAGGACAAAAGGAAGCTGACATTATGGCAGTTATTAATGGTTGCACACTTCCCTGCTAAATTTAGCCAGATTGTTCTGCTGCTCTTGAGAAAATATAATTCTTACCTACAAAAAAAAGGACAGAAAATGACAGACCATAAGCCACAATAGTGGAAAGAAAGGGGGAAAGTACCTGTGATAGAATTAGTACAATAAAGATTAATAATTGTTAGAGCAAATGCCAGTCTCATAGGACATCTGCAATCAACTTCTTCCTCCAGTTTAACACATCATTCCAAATTCACTCATTTACCTGAAAGGTCTAAGTTACAAGCTTCAGCACTACAAGTTGCTGTTATCAACTAAGAGAGGCAGGTGACTCCAGAAAATGTTTGTGCCTAGCCATGACCTCTCAGCCTTCAGAAATGCTTGCATCTCTGCAAGCAAGTTCAAGTATCCTTACCTCATTAGATCCCAGTGTGCATGATCATGGATTAGGACAAACAGTGTGTGTGGATTCTGCATAGAGTTTTGCAGAAAGACTTTGAACTTAATCTGGGCTTCTGCGTCTAGTTTCAGAACATACTGTTCCACCTTCTGCTTCGTAAGATGCTGCTTCTCCAACCCAAGTTCTAATAAAATACCTAGAAAAAAAAATGGAACAAATGTCAGGATTTCCCGATATAAATGCGTTCATTGGTTTCTTGTAAATCCAGCTAATAAAGCTAACTAATGAGCACCTGAATGCCAGAGATGAAACAAAGTCTGCTGATAAGTCACTTCAGAGGGTGGAACACAAATCAAGAAATCAATTTTCTCAAAGGAACCCAAATCAAGATTTTGAGTGCTGGAGTCAGCAATTGAGCAAATATGAGACAGCAGTTTCTGAGCTACTGCCAGCTGGAATGGTCGAATCTGATGTCGTTCAATCTCATAACCTAGAAAAAGACAGAATTCTTTTTATACATACACCAAAAGTCTAATCTAGTGTAAAACTGTACAGCCTGGAAAAGAATGACTGGCCTATTCTCTAAGGAGTCAGTGTTCTATTTTAGGAAAATCTACATAGGACATACAAAGAAAACTTTCTGCACTTGGGAATTTTATTCCTGCAAGTCTCCTAAATATTTATGAGCTGAAGTTGGACTTGTGCAGTAGCATTCTGCTACCAAGGAAGTAAGATTTAAAGCTTCAGGAAGTACAGCTCTCATGGAACGAACTGAGCACCCAGTGTAAATAAATCTGGGTATCCCAAGACATGAGTTCACGATCACCTCAGAATAGAATTCTTCAAGAGCCCAGGACTCTACCCAGGTACATCTAACTGCACACCTAAAGACCTATTCTCAAGCATCTGACTCTATTACCTTTTGAGAAAATCCTCCTTACTTGTACACACAGCTGCTCCTGTTCCATTCAGTGCTGTTGATTTATTTGCTGAAGCAGACAGTGATGAAGAGATGTGCCCTTGGTTTTCCTGATAAAATTTCTCCAGCAAAAGATCGATGTCACCCTCTAGCAAATGGAGAGGAGAGTGGTAAAAACATTCAGGTTGATAACAGCTGTATTTCATGCTGACTTTCTTTAGTAGATCTCAAAGAGCTTTGTATATGCTGTCCTGTCTTTGGCTTATTGGGTATTTTGTACACTAATCCTATCATTAGTTTCCAATGCATTATTTATTTTCAGCTTATCACTAATAAAGTGCACATCAGGCCAAGGAATGACAGATCAGCTCTGCAGACCTCTGCTTAGGACATTTAGAGAACATAGTAGAAAACTAGCTTGAAGATTGTGACCTAAATCAGCAAAGACAAACACCTGCACAAAACCTAGTGTATGTCCTGACCACTGTAGCTATTTGTACTGTTTACTAATAAGGATTTGAAGCAGCTTTTGAAAATCTGATGCAAAGCACAGATATTAAATCTTTAACACTTTTTGTGAAAAAGAAGGAAAAATATTTTTTGATAAAGTAGACAGAGAAATGAGGTTTTTTACACAATATTAAAGCAAGGTATGTTTTACTGAGCTAAGTACATCTGCTCTGTTTAGCAGGGACCCTGCTTACAGGTAATACCTACTCAGAAAATACAGTATGCCTGTCCTGAATACTTATTTTCTCAGCAGTTGAAAAAATATTTGAACATGTCTGCAAATGGTACTAGAGTGTCAGGGTCATCTTCGTGAAGTGCAATCCAGTGGATGTAGATGGCAACTCGTTCCAGGATGTTCATTTACTTGTTCTGCTCAAACAATAGTAGGAGTTATTCTGAGAATCATAACACACAGATACTAGGAACAGAGACACCAGTGTAACTGCATGATGGCTCTAGGAAGACAGGTGCCTCTTCAGTGACCGATAAAAATATCGTAACGTATTCAGAAAGCATTCTTGCCTTCCAAGTACAGATTTCATGATGCAATGTGAATGGTGAAGGGGACTGTGAAATGCATTAACACTGACAAGTATGCTGCATTTGCTCTAGTGCTGCGATCCAGTTACATTTTCCACATGGCTGGATCTATCTACAGAAAACCCTCCCTGTAGTAATCCTCAGTTAAAAATGATCCTGTAGAGCTGGCTCTGCAGTTATCTTCTCTTTCCCATGCATCAAGTTCAAGTTCACAGTATGACTTCCTTTCTTCTGCAAAACAATTCTGGTCTACCACCGTCCAAATGAATCGTGTGCTTGGGGCAAAAGAATTTATTCATTCATATGCATATGGGCTTGTATATTGTATAGGTGGATTTGTGTAGCCAAGAATAACATGTTGAACTTCTTGCTCGCATATTTTTATGAACCTGAGGTATTTTAGAAACTGACACTTCTAGGAGAAATTGCAATTTCAAATATACTTTGTCCTGTATTTTTTTTATACATTTGTAATAATGTCTTGCTTCAGGGAAGCATGAGCACAGCTGCTTTCACTCACTAAAAAGACTGACAGACTTGGAAATATGCCTATCCACAGCGTATTATATACCTGGGCAGAGGGTGCTGAAGAAGGACCCCAGAGATTCCACTTTGCCTGTGACCAGCTGATAGTTCACTTCTTTTTGGTAGTCTGAAGGAGTGAGCATGCCCTCAGACAGAATTCTTGCCTGATACTTTCCTAAAAGACAAAAATGTCATCTTGACAGCACTTCAAGCTACACTAAAAACATTATAAGTCATAATGAAAAACACCTCCCAGCTAAATGAATCTTCTCCTGCCAAAAAACTAAGGCCAAGATGAGATTTTTTTCTCTCTTATACAAGTACGTACCATGTTTGTTGAAGACAGTGAGGTTGAAAGAGCATGATATAAAAGCTGAGAAAATGCTCAATTCTCTGCTCACAGTAGTACCTCAGTCACACAGAGCAGGAAAGCATTATGCACTGTCTGCTGTTAGTTTTCTATTATTTGTTCGCAGTAGTGCCTTTGTAAAGACACAGCTAATATGGGCAGAATGGGATTACTGGGAGGAGATCCGACTGTGCGACAGCACCTTGGGTTCATCAAAGCCCATTACTCCTTGGTCACGGCTCTTTTTTCTGAGGCAGCTTATCAAAAATCCCCATGGCATGGGATGACTCTGTTTTGCCTGGAGAAACCGTTAAGATCTTACCTGTTATCACAATGCAGGAATCAATGGCTCTATTTCTGCTAGCACAGATGATCACCACATAGTTTGTCTTTATTAATTTTCCTTCGATGAGCAGCTTAAACATTTCTGAAAGCCCTTCAGCCAGAGAATAGCTGCACTCAATGATGTGAACGCTGTCATTACAGGAGCTGGCTGCCAGCCCTGCCAGCCAGGGGAGCTGGGCTGAGGTCACTGGGGCGATCTGGCTGGGCACTTGAGGAAAGGTCTGCGGAATCATCTGTTGGTACTGACGGATTTCAGATAGGTGCGACTCTCGCCAAGAACGCATGAATATTTGTTCTAAATCCTCAATAAGAGGAACTTGGTCTGAAGCTAAAAAAGATTAAGAGGAAAATGTTCATATTATGAAACAGTTTAACAAAGTTGTTGAGTTAAAAGGTCTTTTTTTTTTAAATGTACTGTTTTTTTTTTTATTAGAGATGGTTGTGTTTCAGATTTACGCATGCATGGCTGTGGCCATTAGAAGATGTGAACTGTATCTTTCATTTTGAAGTGTCTTTGTGAGACTCAAAGCTGCTGTAATTGGAACCTGACTATCAGTTATTAGAAATATTTAAGAGTTTGAGAACTGCTTATGTCAATGTAACAATATTTATTAACTATGGTCTACGTGCAAGAGCAATGAATTACGGATGTTTTCCTTTCTTTTTTTTTTTTTTTTTCTTGTCAGTTGCTGGGATCCTCTCTTATAGGAAAGTATGAACTTTGTTTCATTCATCATATTTTAATCTAAGTTTGGTCTTGAGGAACAACTAATTACATAGTTTTAGAAAATCATCTTACCTAGCTGAACAAGGTAGTAGACAGTCAACAAGAGCTGCATCTCTTCTGAAATGGGCTGTATTGTCGGGGCACCATATTGTTCATATGCTCTAGATAAAGACTGTGAATTTCTGTAACAGGTATACAGCAGAGGACTCACTATCACATCATTAATGTTCCCGCAAAGATACGGGAAATTTCCATGACCTTAAAAAGAAACATTTGTACACGTCACATTAATTTCATGTTTTAATAGTAGATATTTCAAAAATGAGACCTTTAGCATTGTTTAACAGTTGGATTTACCTTTATATCTCTTACAAAACAAACAAACAAAAAAAAACCAACCTGAGATCTTTCTGAAGGGTGGGTTTTTTTTACCTTTGAAAATAACTGGCTTTGCTTTACAGATTTTCAGCAGGTTGTCAGGAACTGAGACAGGCTCTCCTGAGCCCACGATTGGAGATGATGCTGGCCCCACCAAAGCAGAATGCGGTAGAGATGATAGGCTTCCTCCATCTAAAAGTTTATACGTAATATCTCTGGAGTGAGATCTAGTAATTGTTTTCTCAATGAAAAGTTAATCAGTCATCTTATAGACACATATTTGGTATAAGTGCTACATAGTTCCAATCACACCACACATTTCACGATCTGTAACCACAACCCATAATGTGCTTAATTTCTTGAGAGTACTTGAGAATCAAGTTGACCATTGAACGCGCAATCCAAAGATTTTGAAATATTTATAAGTAAACATTTCACATTATGAATGCATGAATATAGAGATATACATGATATCAATGCAAAGCTATGATTTGAGAGCTTTGTATGATATAATTGGTTGTATTCATTCTAAGCATTTTGGTATGTAAAAAAATTAAGATTCAGCATTTGTTCAAAACTAATTTATTTGTGTTAATTTTAAACCGTAGCATACTGAAAGAAAACATCCTGCTGAAAGTTGGTTTGTTTCATCACACCTCACTTTAGTCTGTATCTAGACTAAAATTCAAGAAAGAGCCGAGAACACTGTGACAAATCAGTGAAACAAGAGATGATAGCTTGGGATCTGAGTTCTGACAGTATAATGTCCCAAAGGTGTTTAGATATCAAAAGATGGACACAAGCACTTGTTGCAATTTATTAATAATGACATGATGAATGGATTCTAATGAGAGTAAAGTCCAGAGACTCCAAGAAGGATCACTAAAATTAAAGAACTGAAAATAATTCTGAAAACGTAGGTATCAAACACCTTTCAAAACTCTTCCGAGAATCTGTGTATGTCTTTAAAATATTGCTTCTTTTCCTCCATTATTTTCTGTATAATGAAATGAACATCCTCATTACCTTGGGTTCAGCTTACCATTTTTAATTCTATTTGGAGCCTGTGGGTTGAGCGGCAAGTTCCAAGTTTCAGTGGATGATGGAGACTCTGGTGACCAACCTTTATGGCGTTTTTTTGGAGGCCCTGAATTTGTCAAAGTGCCTGAATAACAATAATATTTCAGAAAAGTATTAGAATATATTTTATTCATGTCTGTGCATGATAATTCAACACATGCTGATGGACTAAATTAAGCATTAAGTACTGTGGTAGACAAGATTGACTCCATGAGTATAATCATTGCTTCTAGTTTTCGTTTTACTTTGCTATCTTTTGCATAAAGACCTAGGAGCATTCTGGTGCAGAGACTTGTTAAGCTTTACCTATTTTACACCAATGTTTACTCTGAAGTAAAAGCAGTATACTAAAATGAGACATCCTAAGTAAGAATGCTTATGATAATACTTTGAAGCCAATGTGGACACTTTGTGCCTTCTATTTCCAAACCCACAATACTGTGTTTCATGTAACTTAATTAAAAAATATTTTCACAGGTTTCAGTGCAATATTAGTAAAGATCTGTGCTCTTTTCAACAATTCTTTCCACTGTCAAGGTTTTTGTTCTTCCCACTGGCATGATCTTTAGCTTAATGATAATCCATATTACTTCAAAGCAAATGACTTCTGCACATTCCCTCTATTCATCGTTAGCTCCAACATCTTTGTCTGTAAAACCATGACCATATTTCTCACAGTTTTCCTGGGAGCCCCTTGCAATTAAATTCTTCAGTCTCTTGTTACTTTCTTCAGTCATCTTGTGTCTTCCTGCAAAATCCTAAATGACAAGTTTTTTCCTGCTAACATCAAGTATTTCTAATAATTTAGAGTCCATAGTTGCCCAGGAATTATTCAGCATCTTGAAGAATTGAGCTGTTTCTGCTTATACACATTAATAAAATATGCAAATGCTGTAACTACTTCACGCTGGTAAGTCTGTATCTCCTGGTAAAATGGTTAGACTTTAAAAAAAAAAAAAATAAAAGCAAGAGTAAGAACTTGTATTAAAAATGTTGTTAGTTGAGTTGGTTTGTTTTTGTGTTTTTTTTTCTAATTTTGTTTTATTTTCACAAAAGATACTAAAGCCAAAAGTAAAAGGAATCCTCAAATCTGGAGATTGTACATTTGCAGAACAATCTTATGTCCATGCTTTCAGAGATCACTTTTAAACCTATACCATGTGAGGGCAGTATGTAGCTGTTTGTTCTACTTCTATACCTTTCTTAATTCCCTCCACAAAACTATTCAGTGAGATCGATACAAATACAATATTGAAGAAACTAGACTCAGAATCCTGTCTGTACTGATTGCAAATTGTATCAATTGTAAATGCAATGAAAAACTTTGATTTATAATTGGAATTACAAAAAAGCCATGGCTAAAATCACACGAACTTTTATTCTGAAAATTAACATTCAAAAGAAAAGGAGAGGTTACAGTGACAAGAGATTTGGAAGGGAAGTGTAATTCCTGTTCATACTGAGAATTATGATCATGGTATCTTTTGTTCAATGTTTCTGTCAAAACCATGGAATATAGATCTTTAAGGTTATTAGAGAACAGATCCACACAAATACCTAACACCGATGGCCTTGTCAAAGCAGATAGGTTATTTTTCGCCAACTGTTGTTTAGGAGATTCCTTGCCATTATAAGCTGCTGAGCCGAATGCTGCTGTTGATGGGATATGATCTATGGCTGTAGCTGGCAAGAAAAAAATATAAAGTATTTACAATAAATGTTTCTAGAACAAGATTCCTAATTGACATAATAAAATGATCATTTACTTTAATAGAGCCATCAGGATCCATAAGAGTCACAAGAGAATATTCATTGTGAAGCTCAGAGAGATCACTTCAGCCACTATCATTGATCACTTTTTATTTATGTGAGGCTAATGGAAAAGTAAATGTTTGAGAAATTGTTGTTAATACAGAGATATCACTCATCAGTTTGTCTTTTAATATTAAAGCTCCTTTACTCCACTGATGCCCATACAATCCCAGCAGTAACGAGCGTTCTGGTTACAATGCAAAATGTCTCTTAAAAGAGAAGGCCTGCCTTAGTTATGAACAAGCTCCACATCACCTATCCATTGTATTATTTCCTAAAATTTTGTACATAAATCGGGGGGGAAGAGGGGGTGGGGACAAATGGACAGTGAAAAGACTAGAAAGAAGAGTTTCTTCCTTTATTCATAAGATACTCTATTTGATTTGTTTTATTGCACGTGGCAATGTGCTCATTTCCGTCTTTCCACTCAGAAACACACACAAACACACACACACGGAGCAGGAAGAGCACACGTCAACCCGTTCTCCTTCTGCGTGGTACCTGTTTGTGGAGTCCCAGGCGCAGGGTTTGGGGGAGGCTCGGTCGCGGTGCTCCCGGAGAGGCCTGCGCTCTCTGGCAGTTGGCACCCCGTGCCTGAGCAGGTGCTGGACAAGGACTGCCGCCCTCTGAGTTCTTAAGAAAAAAAAAAGAGGCTTCTTATCCATCGGCAACAGCGACAGACGCTTTTTTCTGCGTGTTTGACTTGGTAATTTCACACGTGAATTACTTAAAGGCTACAGCACTTGGAAGGGAGGAACCGATGGCATCAAACATGCCATCCTCTTATTAGGGCGGTCAATTGCTTTTTACAGCTGCACTTTAAGGACTCTTTCTTTTAACTGATCCGTCTCAGGTTTTACATAGACGCCAGTCCCAGTAATATCCAAGCCTGGATGACAAAAACCAGAGCTCGAGTAAGACAGCTTCATTATCTTACCTGCCCCTTTCCAGCAGATTACAGATCCTTTCGTCAGAGCTCCCTGTGCATTCCTGACCAGATAATACTTTAAGTGTTTCTGTTTCTTGGGCTGAGTGGTCAGTTTAAGGTTAATGTGATTTGAGAATTCCGTAAAGTAGCAGAAACCTTTCTTGCCACAGCCAACACAATTGCCAGAGAAGCCTGATAAAACAAACAATGCACATTAATCCAGTGAGAAAGGTTGGTGACTATTAATAACCTCACAACATGACTCTTCCCTGGAGAAAAAAACAGTTTTGTTTTGTTTTACAGGTTTAACTTTGTATAAACATTATAATCCCCAAAAAATTACATCAAGTCCTGTCTGTTGCACTTTGGCTACTAGATTGCAAAAACAGTCACACATGAACAGAAAATTTAAAACAAGCCACATTTTTCATTTTCTCCCACCAGAAAAAAGTCACAGTACCCACTCATTATGTACCTAAAAGCATTAAAACAAAATATGTCTGGTTCAACTATACTGAATAACACACTTAGTATCACAGAAAGTTTTACTCCTTTTTAAACTTGCACTGAAACTAAACATTCAAGAAAGCCTCAGGAAATTAAGTATATTTAATCTACTCTCTTTAGTAAGATCTAAGTTCATTTAAGCACCAAGCTTCTACTACAGAAGTTTGTTTAAGGGAAAAAAAATACTAATGCCTTTTTAGGATACTGATTGAAGTAGATTTGCCAGGTGATATGGCTGGACTGCGTTAGAACTTCACAACACCTCAAGCTATTTATGATTACAAAAAGAACATGTCTGCAACTTTAAGGAACATGACAGAGATGCAATCCCTGCACGTAAAGAAGCTCATTGTACTCAGGCTTAATGGGGCATTTCCAGGGATACCGCCATTTCCTCTCATTCTGAGGTATAAAATTTGAGCTTCAAAGAGGAGCTCGCGATGGTGATGCCATTATCACCATAAGTAAAGAACAATCCTTGAACAGCTAATTAAGACTTATCTGCTTTTTATTCTTCAACAGCTTCATTTTTGCACTTTCCAAAGTACTTCCATAGGAAAATTTTGCACTGCATCTGAGCAATTACCTCAAAACACTTGATTCTTACAAGGAAATCATAGTTTGTAAATAGAAGACAACGTTCCCCATGGAAATTTTCTTCCTATTCCCCATACGTGCCCTGAAGCATGGAGGTTCTTTTTATTTTAATCCCATCTAATGGACATCTTGATGTGTTATCACAGGAATTTCAAATCAAAATTGTGTGTTCAGTCCATTGAAAGACAGTAGAAATAAAGCAAAGGAAAAGCATCTCATGATCCCATCAATATGGAGAATAACACTAGAAATATTACAATTCCACCATGTTAAATAAAATGAAGAGCCAATCATGAGAATTTCATTTCATTTCAATCATGAGAATCACATTTCAGACCAATCCCATTTTCAAATTAACATTCAATACTTCTTAAGAAAAGTGAACTAACATGCAGACACTGAAATACTGTGCTCTGTAAACACCTGTTTCTTGGTCTACAATTTGAGTATTTTCATTCAAATTGTTCAGAAGAATACATTAAAAATATAAGTTTATAAGGCATTTTTTTAGATACCAATGTTTTGTCTATATCTCTGGTAATAAGTGGACAATAACGACTGAAAGCTGTTCATTATATCACTGAGGCTGATAGGTAGAATGATAAAGGTCGTTATGACTCATAAAATTGGAACAAGTCAAGACTGCTAAATCCTGTTTTGTATCAGTCAACACAAAAGAATCTGTCTAACATCACAGAACCTTCAGTTGCTGCAATAAAAGCAACAAAGGGAAACAAAACCACAATGGATGTGGTAAAGGCTGTAGAATTGACATGCATTTTAGGCAGATTAAGAAACTACGGAAAATGATTCTGCTAGCAAATGAAAACTTCCTGTACATCTTGGCAGTATACTGAGCATGAGCAGCAGCACTGCAATTTTTAACTGGTTGCCACTTACAAGGCCTTATTTTTTCCAAACAGAAACATGAGGGGACCATTTCCAAAAGCAAAATAGAAGTACCTTTACCCCTTCTAGGTTTTATTGTTTAGCTGAAAGTGTCCAGCTGCTTTCAAAAGCCACATGGGGAAATATTTCTGCAACAGAAACAGAACAGTGGGGCAGTGGACGCAAAATCTTTTCACATGGACACTACACCAGTCACTGCTGATAACTCTTGTAACTCATCAGCAAACTAAGAAAGATTTAACAAAAAGTATCCTCTACCTGAAACAGCCTTTTGCCCTAAGTCATCTATTTTTAACTTTGTCTGCTTGGCAGTCTACTATTCAAGATCTACTGGTTTTCACCAGCTATAATATACTGGTGAGATTTAATAAGAATTAACAAACCTGAAGAGTCAACATGTTTTGAAAACTCTTCGGAGAATAATTTAGAAGCTTATTTTTCAGTTTTCCATTTAAATCAGACTATCATCTTTTACCTCAATTCTTCCCACCTCCCCTGAGCTGAGCTCTTTCTGGAAAGCACCTGCCAGCACTGAATTTTATCCCATTCATTCAGACTGACACTTTCTCTGATGACACCACAGATACAATATAGCATGAATTTATAATTTCAGTGCTGTATGATGTTCAATCATTACTCTTTTCAGGGCTGCTTTTCAGATTGAAGCATCCACTGCCAGCCTTGCAGCAGATGGAGTAAGTCTGAGAACAGTGTTCATCATAATGTCTTGGGGTCTCAGTGAATGAAAAGCTGGACATGAGCCAGCAGTGTGCTCTTACAGCCAGGAAGGCCGATGCTATCCAGGGCTACATAAACAGAGGGGTGGCCAGCAGAGAGAGGGAGGTGATTGTCCCCCTCTACTCAGCCGTTGTGAGGCCCCACCTGGAGTACCATGTCCAGGTCTGGGGCCCCCAGCATAAGAATCACAGGATCAAATAATTGTAGGGATTGGAAGGAACCTCTGGAGATTATCAGACCAATTTCCCTCATCTTTTCTTCTCCAGGCAGTCTCAGGTCTCTCAGCCATTCTTCCTAAGGGAGATGCTCCAGGCTTCTCTTCATCTTTGTGGCCCTCCACTGGACTCTCTCTAGCAGAACACTGTATTTTTTAACTGAGGAACCTAGAACTGGACTCAATACTGCAGGCACGGCCTCACAATGGCAGAGTATAGGGGAGGATCACCTCCCTCGACCTGCTGGCCGTGCTGTTTTTAATGCACTCCAGGATACAATTGGCCTTCTTGGCCAAAAGGGCACATTGCTGGTTCATGGTCAATTTATTGTTCACCAGGACACACAGGTCCTTCTCCACAGAGCTTCTCTCCATCAGGTTGGCCCCTACATTGTACCGATGCATGCATTTATCCCTCCCCAGATGTAGACTCTACACTTGTTAATCTTCATCAGGCTCCTCTCTACCTAACTCTTCAGTCTGTCTAGGTCTCACTGAATGGCAGCACAGCCTCCTGGTGTGTCAGCAATCATCTCAGCTTTGTGTCATCAGCAAACTTGCTGAAGGTGGACTTTCTCTCTTCATCTAGATCACTGATGAATTTGAACAAGGCTGGACTCACTACCGACCCTCATTCTGTGCATGCCCTGTTCACATACAATGGCTGGAGCTAACAGCTGATAGAGAGGAGAGCTTGTTTTACAAACAAAACACATTAAATATTCTTCCATATATTATAGAAAGGACAAAGGGGAGTCAGGGCAGCCATAAGGTGACTCAATATATCTATGTCATGCAACTGATTTCACGAGAGAATTAGAAATCAATGCCCAGAGTTCTGGGGCCAGAAGCCTTTCACCTTTAGGTCAAAGTTCAAACCCAACTCTGTTCAGTAGTGACTTAAGGCCATTACCCTCTGTAGATTGTTTAATCAGAAGATATTTGATTGTGTCTGATATCATGTGGGCTTGGATTTGCCCACATCACAGTGATCTATTATTCAAATGATCCTTGTGGGTCCCTTCCAACTCAGAATATTCTATGACTCTATAATTTAAAAAGCACTTCCATGCTAAGGGCCCCATGGTCAGTAGCAGGACCTTGGACTAAAAGCGTGTGAAGCCCTATCTACCTTATGACTGGGCAGTGGTTCCTTTGGATTAACAATGAACTTGCGCTAAGGGCGAGCAGAATATTTCAAGGTGAAAGGATATCTATCACCAGTTGGTCCAGCTGAAAATTTTCCTCCTGTTTTTGTTGTTTTGTTTTTTTTTCTTTAAATGACTAATGGAGTTTTAATTAATGTTCATACTTATGTAATATTAATATTTCTTTGAAAGTCTCCAACTTCCTTAACACTAAGATTTAGTATGGTTTTAACTCTTCAACAAAAATATTTCTTCTGTTCAGTTCTACCCACAAGCAAAAAGCACACAAATATTGACTGCTTCACTTTTTTTCCCTCCCATTCAGTATCATTCCATTTGAAGACTGAAGGCCTTAAATGAAATTAATACGTTCATGTTGAGACTCCATTGTACAGAAACTCACAACTATTACAAAAAACTAATAGAACAGCGTACTTTCTAACAGAAGTGCCACAGATTTTATACCGCAACCTTTTCATCTTACAGCATACAATGCAAGAAAACTAATCTTTTCCTCTGTTGTCCTGACCTCAGGGACCCACTGAAAAAAAAAAAAAGAAAGGATTTCTTATTCCCTGCTAGGAAAGTGGGCAGCTGTTAGGTCTTTTGGGAAGGAAAATGATGAGTGAATAGCTGCTTTGTTTATCATGAGAGACCCTTCTTATGAGTAAGAACTGAAGGGAAAAAATGAAAAGGAGAAAAACCTTTGGGGGTGATGCATGTTAGCTGCATTTTCTAGGATACAATAAATATCACACTATTGCAGTTCTTCCTCCAGTCAAGCATTCCATCAGGCTACAAAACAAAAAGGAATGGTTTCCTGGAGCCAAAATTTGAATTTGTTTTGTCCCAAGTAGCAAAACTTGGGATCTAACTTGATTAGTGGAGATATATACAATACGTTCTCAGGCTCCTCAAATACAGAGAACTTTTTGCTTAAGAGCCTGCCTTTTCCAGAAAACAGAAGTTTCCCATGTAATAAACAGCCCACTGTAAAAAAGAAACAAAACAACCTTGGTCTTCAATAAGGACAACTTTCATATTGCAAGCACAAATTTCTAGATGGTGGAGCAACTCAGTAGCATAATCAATAAATTGTCACAGTATCATCAGCCCCCTATGGGAATAAGGCTATAAGTCAAAAGCTGGTCAAGAAACTCCTGAGACATTTTGTTTTTTCCTGGAATTTGGATCTCAAAGATCCAAATGCAAATTCTTTCACATTTAATCTTGTTATAGAATACACAAAACTTATCCTAAATTATCACTTTTTTTTTTTTTTTTTTCAAAAGAACACGATTCACTAGAATTTAAATGTACAACAGCCAAAAATAAGCATCTAAATTGTTTAGAACAAGAAAAGAGTGTTAAATAATCAAGCTGAGGATGCAAGTAGCATAAAAGCCTCTCAGTTATGCTCCCGTTGCTTTCTTTAGCATGCAATTAACAAGTATACTACTTTCTCTCCACAAAGGCCTGAGGAACTTAAGCTATTAAGAGTGCTAGCACTGAATGATCGGAGCGGTACAACATTCCTGTCTTAATCTTTAAAATGACAACATGTGGGTGATTTATAGTCCTTCTAACTCTTTCGCAATCATTAGTCAAATCTACTGTGACCAATCCAACTCTGTAAGATCACGAGGAAATGAATTACAGTGCACAGAACTACATTATCCACCTTCACACTACGCTGTCATCCCAAATGCCTTGAAGAGCGGCTCCAACTGAAATAACAACTGAGTTCACGTCATATCCCTCAGTGTTTGTGAAGGAACATGGTTAAAGGGCACAATGACAAATAGTTCCTTTCTGCTATCTAAAGCTCAGACTGGTACACAGAAAATGACGAAGCATTTTTGAAGAAAATAATACATAATTACCCAAGAATGTCTGACTACAATAAGAGCTTTCCCTCCAGATTATATACTTTCTGTCCCAGTATATGAACTATTCCAATTCACTAACGTCAATACCTGGTTCATTCATTCACAACACTGTGGATTGCTTATAATTGTACTGATTTGGATGAGGATAATGGCAATCATAAGGGCTAAAATGAAAATAGAAAGACTCAGTTTATGTCAGAAATTGGACACTTAAATTGGTAAAAAGCAAGAAAATTTTAAGTATTCTGCACAATTTGTTTTCTTAAAATAATGTGCATTGTAAGACTGAATTCAAACACAGTATTACCTGATTACGCATTAAGGAAAAAATTCAACTTATAATACTTCATATTTATTTTTACTCTGATAATAGTAAAAAATCATAGGTTAGGATCCAGAATTCGTGCTGTTGTTTAAACTTAGTTGGGAACACGATTGCTGCCCCAAAGGAATGAATGAAAATGGTCATAATGGATGAGGCTCTGGGCAATCTGATCCAGCGCTTCATTCAGTGGTTGGCAACCCCACCCACAAGCAGAGGTTTGAAACCAGACAATCTTCAAGGTCCCTTCTAATCCAAGCCTGTGATTCCATGTTAATTTTTTACAGTACAAACTATGGTAAAATTGTTTACATGTATCTTGTAGACAGGTTCACTTTGACAGATGTACACTCTGTCCAACTATGTTAGTATTTGGAAAGCTAAAATAGGGAGCAGTTCAACTCCAGTTACCGTTTCCAGTTTCAACTCCAGATGTGTAGTTCCAGCAACCAGGTCATACACAGACCAGATAATGACTTAATTCTTGGGCTAATGGACAGATCATGAAGAATTTCTAATGAATTGGCTTACTCTGTATCTTTCCAAAGTAAACATAACCAGCTCTGAGTTTTTATCTTGCTGTGCATCACCAATGAGAGTTATGTACAAACACGAAAGAAATAACATCTGCTGAACTCACTCTGAGAAAAAAGACTAGCTATTAATTGTAGACCACAGAAGCATTCACTTACTATGACACACTTACCCAACAGGGCATTGCGCCCATTATCATCTGGAAGAAATCTTTTATCCACAGCACACACTAAGAGGTGATCAGGTAAATTTGGTGACTTGGCACCAACAAGTAAAAACCCTGATGGTACCTCAATATGTTCGTTGGAAATTGAAACCAGTCTCAAATCTTTACCAGCCTGGCAGAAACCTAGAAAAAAAAAAAATCAATCCAATGTACTTTAAGTTGAGAAGAATTTTCTCTTTAATACAGTTAATTGTCTTTCTTAAAGATCTTCCAATACTTTTAGTGAAAAGCAAAGTGGTATTCTCTGAGGTCGAGCCAACTAAGAGATAGTTTTTTTCCCCTCCTTTTGGTCACCATAAACAAATACCATCAGTACAATAAACAAACTCAAATTTGAAAATCCAGAGAGAACTTTCCAGAGAGAACTTTATCCAGAGAGATGATGTTACACATCACTAATATACACTAATATCATACTAATATCACAGATATTTATGGGCTACTTACTAATGTCATTATAACTACAGTCAGATTTCCAGAAATGCAGATAATAGTTCTAAGTATTTAGTGAATTTCACTGGTTTTCCTGTTTTGTTTTTTTTGTTGTTGTTGTTGTTTTTGCTTGTTTTTTGAATAATTCTTTCAGCAACATTGAATTAGGTAAATAGGTACACCTCAAGTAGTAAAAACTGATGATAAAACCTGAGAATTACTCATTATAGTACTCATTATAGTGAATGTTATGCCTGTGAAACTCAACCTTGCCTTGTTCTGTCCTTATGCCAGGTGTTCTAGCACATACACTTACCTGCCACATTTGGTAAAGACCTTGCAAAATGCAAAAACAGCCAAGAACTATCCAGCTTTGCCTAACAGATAATGAACAATGGAATGCTTATTATTTTTACAACATCAGAACAAGATCATTTATATGAGTTACAGGGAAACGCTCCAGTTATACCTATTTGAGCAGGGCAAAATGCCTTCTGATGCATGTTTAGTGCATTTCTTACCATCAGTAGTGCAACAACCCTCTGGGGGAGGCTTCATCTGGTAAGAAACAGGACTGCTTGACTCTGAGCCTTCTTCTTCCTCCTCTTCTTCCTCTTCCTCATTATCTGCTCTGCTGCCTGCTACAAATTGTGATAGCAAAAATGTCTTAGAAAATAGAAAATGCTGGCAACAAATCATTGAATGAACAAGGTGACCCAGTTACAGAAAGTATTACAGAAAACTGGATTCTCTCCTCTTGACAATGACTTTAACATTGTCAGCTCTACTGTTCTTTCTGTGAAGCTCCAACTAGTAGTCTTATGCTTACAATAGAATGTCTTTGATTTTAAAAAAAAAAAATAGTTTTTTGCCTAAAAAAAAAAAAAAAATTGAAAGCACGACATAAGTGTACCTGAAGAAGTAAAAAGCCAAGGGGCAAATAAAAAGAAGCCTCTATTTATTATTCAAAAAATAATCTCTATTTTTAAAATAACCTCATGAGTTTGGAGATCTAATTCCTGATGTTCGAACTCTTGTTGATCACAACATTGTAACTGTATCCTTTATTTATAATATTAACAGCCAAAACAAATGTAAATTCATTACTTTAGAACACCACGGCTGCAGTCCAAGTACAGATTTTATCAATGAGGTGTTGATGATCGTGTCCTTGATGCTGTAGACTGAAGAAACAGTTCCCACTTGAAATTAGGTTCAACCAACAGCTGATATCACAACAAGAGAACCTGATTCTCATGCAGTCACAGAATCACAGAATTGTATGGGTTGGAAGGGACCTCCAGAGATCATCGAATCCAACCCTGCCAAGGTTCCCTACACCATTTTCTACCAAAACCCAGAGCTCTGAGTGAAACACTGCTGCTCTCTGCACAATGTCAAGGAATAGCAGATGTCTGGAAGACAACATACAAAGGTCTGCAGAAGGACTGGGCCATTCTAAGAGGCAATTCTGAATGCTGAGGAAAAGGATATATCATTTAGGCTTTTATTTTAGATGCTTTCACGTGTTTTACCTTCAGACTCTCTGCTGCATACCACTTTTCCAGTGTTCTGGTCCCTCGAGTCAGTATTTTTAACTGATAGATTGCTTGCTAACAGAATTAACCTGCTTACTCTCCATGTGCATTACAGGGAAAGAATTTGAAATACGTTTTCTTTTAAGTATTTAAACTTCAATCCTGGAGCACACAGATAAAGGCATAACATTAAACATTTCTGTTTAAGGATATAGTCCAAAGACAAAAATGCTGAAAGTGAACAAAGAGAAAAGTGAAGTTCTTTGTCTTTCGTGTTTAAGATAGGGATAAGCTATGTGTTATGACTTAATCTTGACTAACATCTACATGCATCAATAATAAAAAGACAGGAAAGAAACAGAATGAGAAAATGTCCTACTACTGGAGCCAAGGAGATTTGATGTTGTATCTAAACCAACTTATGTGAACATGGCACTTTCAATTTATATAGCTTCAAATGATTTTATAGGCAATTGTGCTTGTGTAAGTGACCATAAAGGCATACACTTACAACAAGTATGTTCGTTTTTTTTTTTTCAAATTTAAATGTAGAGACTGGAAAACTGTAGTCATTGGAAAATAATTGGTTGTGAACTCTTTGCAAAAAATGGACTGTGTAGGTGAGAAATGTCAAACTTTTTAACTTGTCACCAGCACTGACCTTGACTACATTACTTTATATATAAATTATGTATAACATATTTGCTCCACCATAGGAAAACTGGCTGTATTGATGACTAGTAAGCAGTTATGGTCGAAAACAGTCCAAGTATATGAACAAGACAATGTCAGGGGCAAGGACGCATAACAAGATGGATGGACAAGAGCTTATGCAGGATCCTGAGGATGGTTCACTGCTTCACATTCCTCCTGGTCCTCAGAGTACAGGGATTCACCTAGCTAGGAGTGGACATTTCTACTTATTGTGAGGCTGGAGTATAGGATGCCAGACTGTAGAGCTCTCTCACCTAAGGAACAACCTTGGGAAAACTCTATGTCAGATCGCTTCAGAGTTCCCTTTGTCTGAAAATTCCATGAAATTAATGTTCTTCACCAGGCTGTTGTGTGATTAATTACAGTTCAATTCTGTTGCCATTAACTGCAAAAAAAAACAGAACCAGCCTCTCTTGGTCTAAACAGTTCCTTGTTGAAAGCCCTGAATGAAAGAAGCCACGGTAGTGTGAAATTGCACTTTTGTTCCTCAACAATGTATCTGCACCTGTAGCACCATTCCCAGGTGATATCATAATCAATTTTGTGACATCATTGTTGATTGGCATGGAAAAGATTATTAAATCCTCATAGAAATATTTAATAGAAGAATCACTTCGTGTAGAGATAAACCAGCATAAATATTTAAACAATGAATGTAGATTCATTCTCATGCACTATGCTAGCAATTAAAATAAAAAAAAAAGATTAATGATGTGTGAATGGTGAACAAACTTACTTCTGCAAGAGATATTTCCTCAGCAGTTACAGTAAGGTAGCAGTTTAACCCATGCAAAATACTTTTTTCCATTACTATTTCTTGGGCTGCTGTTTTTTTTTTTTGTTGTTGTTGTTTTTTTGTGTTTTTTTTTTTTCCTTTCCTTTTATGTTACTGTGATCATTAACCATTATGCATTCTGCACTGCATATCTCTAAGCTATCTTTAGCAAGGTAAAACAGCATAAGCAGGCCTGGTGAGAAGAAATGAAACACCATCCTGGTGGCAGAAATGGTTAAATATTAAATATAACCTTGCACCAGCACTGAATTATGCGTATTAGAGCACATCAAAGCACTGAGTTGTACCATGAGTTTGCTTGTCAGAGCTGCAGTTCATCTAAATTATACTATTTCTATGAAAAAACAACTGAGCAAATGAAACTTAAAAAATGATCTTCTCTAAACCATGTCCCATGTGCTATATGACAACTTGAACAAGATTTACCGGCATTTGTATCCTATGTTTTTACATTTGCAACAGAATAACTAAAAGAATCACACCAAAAGTAGATATAAGCATCCTCAATAATCAGCTACAATTTTTTGTACCTTACTATTCACAACAAAAATCACTTCAAGTGCATCTCATTCAAACATCTGTTATTTTTTAAACCATCACTTACTATATAAATTCCAGCAGTGTATGATAAATTATAAATGATAAATTATAGGATAACAGATAACAGACCCTATGCTCTAAATCACCAAAGATTCCTCCAAATCTTCAATTTATACATGCGTATAAATCTGAGCAAGCAGATAACTTATTTTTGTCAAAACAAAAGACAATGCATTTTGCATTCTAATCAAATTCTAATATAAATATTTATACATGTATTTAGATCTTAATATATCTAAAGAAAAACTTTGAATGCTGCAGCTTTTCTGCATTCCTATTTTAAGTGTTTTTGCTGACCCCTAGGAGAGCAAACAGCAGAATTGTGATGGAGCAGAAATATAAAGTTCACTAATTCCTACCTTCCAGCAACGACAGCTGCTGTTCAGCTTCCAAGTACAACTGAGAGAAGATCGGCCTTGGAACTAAGTTGTTTGAGCGGAGAGAGGCCTCGATAGAATTATGCAACACTTCTTCAAACCTTGTTGTCTTGAGCTGTCCGGCGTAAGAATTTCCCATCTTCTCAAACAAAAAGACAAAGAGAAAAAAGAAAACTGATTTCAATTTTAGTACTTAGAACTCCATGACTGCACATTGATGTCAGACTGCAACATTTCTCAGGGAAGAGAAATTGTCCACAGAGAGAGGCATAGGAAAGGAACACTGACTGCAGCAGTGGCTGAGCTGATCCTGCTGGTGAACTACAGGAAGTTATCTACAAGTAACAGCTTTCTGAAATTCAGTAGAAAAGCTTTGACACCTTCTTGAAGACAAGGCTGGAAAACTCAGTCTAGTAATTCCATGGTGTGTATAGCAATTGAGGAGATGCATTTTCAGTAGTCAACAATCTCACCTGTCAAACAGCCTGTTTTGTTTGATTTGAGCAGAATAAATTGCAAAGGATTTGGGCAATAGCACAGTTCAGTGTAGTCACCTTTTCATGGCCCAATCTTGGCTAAAAACTCACAGGTAAGGCAGGCCAACATGTATTTTAGAGGTGTTACTGCTGTAATGTGTTGTGGAAGATGATGGCTTTTTCTTCTCACCTTAAGCAATATTTTTCCATAAGAACAAGAGTATTTTTGTAAAGACAGACATATCCATTATCTATTTGATTTTTGCATTCCATTATTAGCAGCTTAGTGAAACAGCATAATTCACTCAGATGGTGAGGAGCCAGCCTATTCTAGCTGAATATCCCAGCATTTCCTTCCCACGTCCCTTACCACCGCCTGCTTTCCCACAGATACAATGACCTGGTATAACCAAAAGCCATGTCAGCTTTCTTTTTCTATTACAAAGTAGCTCTTGCCCTGGGCCCCATGTCCTTTCCCTCCTCACATCACTGTGAATGGAAAGCATGAAACGTTTCCTGTTTGTGGCAGTAATTCCAAAACAGTGAACAGCCCCTCCTCGGTGCAGGGTGCTGCCTGGGAAATGAGCCTGTTGGGAAGCATCCTGCAGGAATAAGGCAAGCAAAAGGAAAGCTATTTGGAAATCACATATGGCTCTTCTCAGGAGAAAAAAAAAAAAACAACAACAGCATACCCCAAAAAGAAACATTAAGCAAATTTGACCATTTGGATATACTCGTATGACTTTACAAATCTTATAGACATACAAAACCATAGCTCTGTATACTTTTTGGTAGCCTTATAGTATCATATATTTAACTACACACTATATACAGCATTAACAGAAGCTCAGTGAGAACTGCATAACAATGCAGTATTTACAGACATGATCAAGAAAGGAAGTAGGCATTACTGACAAAACAGGTGAATGAACACAAAAGCAAATGAAAAAATTGCAGCATATTGCACTGATAAACCCATTTGCTGAAGGGTTAAAAAAAGTAACAAAATAAAGCACATTAACTACGTTCAGAGCTAATGTGGAAATAAGGAAGCATCCTCTCTCCCAGTAGAAGCAGCAATTTACCTCTGGCTCTTCTCATTTCAAATTTTAATTACTGCTATCATCTATACCAAACCCAGCTAATGATAAAGAAGAATTCCTGTCTTCAGTATTGTCTCTAAAAGGATGTATCAGAGGTGTATGCACAAAGCCCACGGTTGGTATAATTCGTCTAAGAGCTCAAACACTGTTTCCAAGCAAACTCACTAATTAACCCATCTTTCAAGCTTTATATGCCAACATCAGTGCAATAAAGACAAATGATTATCAAGATACCTAACAGATATGTCATTCTTCTTAAAATCTCTCCCCCTCCTATGAACAATATTTTCTCTAGTTAGTTTGTTAGTCTAGTGGCCAGGGACCCATCTCCACATTCTCAGGACCAGGAACTGTATGGTTCTGCACAGTTTTGAAATTCTGGACCAAAAAGAAGTAAAAATGAAGGAACAAGCACTCAATATGGTATATTCAATGTCATACCTTCTGGATTGGAAGCACCACTCAGCTATCAGGCACTTCACACTTTTTTACATAGATTGCTGTATTTCCAGGCAGAGACACAACAAGACTGGAAAACATCCAAAAGATTTTCTGTACTTCATAATTCCTGATACAGCCTTCAGATAATACTCAAAGTTTGACTGCAGTTGCAGAGGCTTGCCTTACAAGAGGCTGGATTTTACCCACTCTCAACCATGACCAAAACTGGACTTCCAAACTTACTCATTTACTTCTTGAAAATCTTCCATAGAGCACATGAAAAATAGGAAGATTTAAAATTCATCTAATGAGAGACACAATATTTTGAGACGATCCAAAAGCATTGTTTAAACATAAATACACACGCAGAACTGCTTTAAGCAAAGAGGCACAAAGACTGATTTGCTCATTGACACTATTTGCATCTACTAGTGATGAAAGAAAAAATACTGCAGTGTTTCAGTACATAAACTCTCTCCTACTGGTACAAACAGCTATTATTCTGTACTGTTTATTAGGAATAGCAACAGATGCTACTGTTACAGGCACCTTGCATACCTGTTATGTAGAGCCTGCTAGCACACACATCAGAAACCCTGTCTGTAATGCTATGGATGCCAGAAATCAGCATCACCAGATAATAAGTCTGGTGTAACCAGTGCAGTTACACTATTTATACAAGGTCCAGATCCTGGCATCCTTTGCGATGCAGTCACAGTTTTTCTTCCACTATAGTTCCAATTTAATTATACGGATGGGTTTGTACAGCAAAACAGAAACTTTTTGGATTTGTATCTGTGGTAAGCTCTCGCATACCTGTAGGCTGTCACACTGTCAGACACAGTCATAAATTCAGGAACATACTTCAGAAGACACAGCCAATCTTTTAGAGACATTTTACATCATCAAGCACACACTTCTGGAGCCAGAAATTGTATATTGCATAAGATTTGGAGGTTGTGGATGCCCCATTCCTGGAGGCGTTTGCCAACATCAGTCCATGTCATTCAGAGCCCCAGTAATTCTCTCAGTTGTGGGAGAGATGACTTCCATGAAGCATGCAGGGGAGAAGCCCTGTGATGGTTGTCAGCCTCTTTTCTTTAAAGCCGCCGAGACTGCGGCACCTGAATTGTAAACTGCTGACTCTGTGGCACCAGGAAGCAAAGGCTTTGAGTCCTATTTTCCTGCTTCAATGAGCTCAGCGTTCCCAGCCCAGATTTATGCCTCTCTTGGATACAAGTGGGTGGCGCAGGCTGAAGTTTCAAATACATGTGAAATTCCAAGCCATGAACATAGATGGCAACCAGATCTATTAAAAAAAAAAAATAAAAATCACAGGGCAACAGAAGGGTAGGCCTCGACCCCAACCGCTGATAAATCAAAGAGCAAATGACTGCCACAGCCAGTTTCCATGGAGAGCATGCAGAGAAAAATACTAGTTAATACAAAGGGGGAAAAAAACAGGAAGGAAGACCTGGAGCTGGGAGAGCTGCTTACAACCATGACAAAAAGAATAATGAAAGCACTCTGAGGAACATAGGTGCCTAAAAAAAATTTGCAGACACAGCTGAAGTGGGTCAGTACAACGTATTAGAAACCCACAGATAAATGTTGCCAAAGAGAAATGCCAGACATCTGAGAATGCCTGTGAATATGTTAGTCTAAAGATATTAGGAGTCCTGGGCAAACATCTGTTTGTCATGGAGTGGAAGGCAGGGCTTCCTGGTTATTTGGCTTTAGCTTTGGCCCTTAATTCTCTGATAGCGTAGTCCATGGCATGAAGATCTACATGGCACAGCTAACTGGCCAGAAAGATTTACTAAGCATTTACCCTAATAAACAAAGTATATGGGGAAAGTGAAAAGTAGATCTATGTTAGTTGTAAGAGAAAAGCTCTCTAGTTCCAAACAAGGAACTGTCAGGACTCCGTTGGTAAACAGCAATTACTTGACTAGGAAATACAGAATGTGATTCAGAGTTAATAGCTTTGCCTGTTGATTACAGATTCATGCTCAGGTTCAACTGCAGTTGAAATCACCAGGTTTTGAAGACGAAGGCCATCACCTGCACTGTTCTGCTATGGTCCTGTACTCCAGCTGATGCACTTTTAGAAAATGCCTGCTCAGCCATGAGGACAACACCTACCAACATGAGAGCCATGACAGTGACTGGTCATACACAGAGCAATGACCAGCAGCAGAAGGACATGCCATCTCCAACCTAGAATGGAGATGCTGGTGAGAGATCTTTTGACTAGTGAAAGGAAGACTGTAATGTACTGGTGACTTATCAGATGCAGTTGTCTATAGTAAAAGAGTATTAATGTTTTGTGAAGACTGAAGATCTAGCATAGCAACACCAGGCAGAATTTATCCTACACCTTGGACAGGATGAGTGTCATAGAATCAAAGAACAGTTTCATTGGAAAAGATCTCTGGTGATATCCTAAGGAAAACTATAGATATAAGAGAACAGAAATTAATCCGAGGCTTTATATGACTGCTAAATAATAATAATAAGACTGTTAAAAGAACCTTTGGCTTTATCAGAAACAGAAAAAGCGGATCTATGCAAGCTGTGCTAAGAAGATTTTAAAATGTAGTCAAGAGCTCCAAGTGCGAAATTAAAAAGCCACTGTTAATCACTTTAGTTGAGAGATCTGAAGGAAATTAAAAACATTTGTATCCCAAGTTTTCAAGAATTACAGGGCTTGGAAGGGACCTTTGTAGTTCATCAGTCCAGTCCCCCTGATGAAGCTGGTCCCCTACAGTAGGTAGCATATGAAAGCATCTGGATGGGTTTTTAATATCTCCAGAAAACATAACTCCACAACTTCTCTAGGTGGCCTGTTCCAGCGCTTGGGTACTTCACAGTAAAAAAGTTCTTCCTCATGTTTTTCTGGAAATTTCTGTGTTTCAGTTTGTGTCCATTTCCCTTAACCCTGTCAGTGGTCACAACTGAAGTGAGTCTGGCCCCATCCATTGACTCCCAGCCTTTAGATATTTATAAACAGTGATGAGCTCCCCTCTCAGCCTTTTCCTCTCCAGACTGAACAGTCTCAGGTCTCTCAGTCATTCCTCATAAGGAAAATGCTCCAGGCCTCTTGTCATCTTTGTGGTCCTCTGCTGGACTCTCTCCAGCAGGTCAGGCCCTAACCTGTACTCATGCATGTAGTTATTCCTCCCCAGGTACAGACTCAGCGTTTGCCCTTGCAGAAACTCATCAGGTTCCCCTCCACACTACTCTCAGCCTATCAAGGTCTCACTGAATGACAGCACAGCCTTCTGATGTGTTAGCCAATTCTCCCAGCTTTGTATTGTCTGTGAACTTGCTGAGACTGGACTCTATCCCTTCAACAAGCTTCTTGATGAAGAAGTTGAACAAGATTGGACTCAGTACCAACTCTTGGGGAACACCACTAGCTACAGGCCTCCAATTAGACTCTGCACTACTGATCAGAACCCTCAGCCAGTTCTCAGTCCACCTCACAGTCAACTCATCTATCCCACACTTCCTAAGCTTCATTAGAAGGATGCCGTAGGTGACAAATATTGCTGAAGTCAAGGCACATAACAGCCACTGCTCTCCCCTCATCTACCCAATCAGCCACTACATCACAGAAGGCTGATGTCTAAATAAGAAATGAGAATTATATAGGACTTGCAAATTATTAAAAGAGAAAAATTTTCACATTGAGTTGCACATTTTTTTCCATTTTAAAGCTCTCTTGGCATCACTACTTCAGAATATTATTTCTAAAAGAAATGATAAAAGGTAGGTAAAAGATTTTAAAAAATCATAATAAGGAGTATCAACAGCTGAACAACTACAGGTTTAAATTTAGAACAATATTCATGTCCTTTTGCAGGCAACATGAACAAACTCCTGAGATATCTTTAGCCAGTTTAGTTATTTATGATACAGAAGCTGTTCATGTCAGAGTAAAACAGTATAGCAATAGCAATGGATACATTTTCCCATTTTGAACAGTCTGCACTTTTTTGTAATGACCTAATAGAATAAACTTCTATTTTTTTCTTTTTTTTTTTTTTTTTTTTTTTAATAGGAGAATGATAATAGGTCTACAAGCCCAACAGTACTGTAAAATAATTTCATTGCTATAGCAAGAGGAAGTTCATAAATTCTTCAAGATGGGGTTTGTTTGAATGAATCACGGTTTTAAGTATCCAATTCATTATCTATTAATATTTGTCTGGAAGGAGGAAGCATTCTCTATTGAAATTGGACTTGTCCAAAGCTCAGTGTTGGAAAATCAGATAGCTCTCTGAACACAAGTTGGAACAATCTAGTAACACCCAGAGTCCATCACTATTTCTAAGGTTAAGTAAAGTCCCTATTAGCTCTAATACAGTCCCTATAAAATCTATATTAAAAACAACAATCTGATTAAGAAGGGAGAAATCCTAGGGCAGAATTCTAGAAGTAACTAAGGAAAGAAAAGTAAATTTGTAAACGCTGAAAAAGTGATTCTCCTCAATAACAATGACAACCAATAGAAAATATTCCCTATGGCTTCAGTTCAGGAACAAGGCTGTGTAATCATGTTTTATTCTTCTCTTTCTGTGATGCTATCTGCAATTACTGACAGTGATTTCTTAATCATCGGATTTGCAAGAATAAATTATTTTTAACTTTCTGCATAAAAGTGCAAGACAAACATATTGTATTCAATTTTTAATTCAGGGAAACTGAAGGAGACTTTTACAGCTTTCACACCTACAGAATTCAGCAAGACTCAGCACAGTGTTTCCTGTCTGTCACAGCCTGCTTTATGATCAAGTCACATAGAGGTTACATCTTTAGAAAACAATAAAATGGGCTGGAAACTATTCTCTGAGGCTCACAGAATGCATACATAGTATCATAAGTAATGTCTTTACTAATGGCTTAAAACAAAGTTACTTGATCCACACTGCTTTTTGGGTATGGTCATCCTAACTTCCAAAATGTGCCAGGGAATTGCCGGAGAGAACACTAGCCCCAGAGAGCTGCTGATATGAGCGAGGACAATGCAAGACTTGTTATTTAAGAAAACAATCTGTTCATTCACATACTGTGAAATTATCACTTGTATGACAAATAAAAAACTTCTACAAGCATAGAAAACAGGTGGGCTAATTCAAAATTCTGCAAAACATACAGGTTTCTGGAAGCCAAACCTGTTTTCAAAAGATATCTGAATATTCTTACTGTCAACTTTAATGAGTTGGCAGTGAGAAAGAGAAAAAAAGGGCTCAGAAAACTGAGGGTTATGACACAAACACAGACTATGGGAAACATTTAAATACGTCTTCATTTGAGAACATTTCCAGACCAATATTTTACTACTTACATGATGTTCATCTAAATCTTCATGAAGGTTTTGACTTTGTGGTTAGTCTTACTGATAAGGAGAAAATGTGAAACTTCAAAAATTTGTTGAGAAATGAAATGATTATCATCTGCTTATCCCAACTCTGTTGGCTAAGTGCTAAGTGAGTAGTATCAGCAGCCACTCTTGGATCTTCTGATTTATATCCACATCTGTGAAGTAATTTGTTCCATTGCAGTTAAACTGGTGTATCACTGAAAAGTCTCTAGCTGATTCATAGATGAATAAAGTTATGGTTCAGCAGACCACATTTGACCATTGTATTTTAAAGGTAACATTAAAGCTTTAGCTTAAACCACTGATATCTTTCCCAGAAATTCCAGCTCTTTTTTGATACCGGATCTTAGAACTCATATATCTCCTGTGGAATTGTATTAGAAAGGCTTAAGATTAAACTTAATGGTTTCCTTTCAATGTTACTTTTGATAAGCAGTTCATGAAACACAGAGGCTGTGATTAAGGTTGATGACAGGTCAGAGAGAACATAATTCCACCATCTTAATATAGCCAAGAACAATTCCACTAGTTTCCATAAAGAGAATACACCAAAAGAATACTGTGACTCAGACCAATATACCACTTTCTTTTTCGTCTGTTACCTGGTATCTTATTTTGATTTTGAAAATTAGGCTGATCCAAAGCATAGGATTTTTCCTGCATTAGCAGTGAGATGATTTCTTCCAATGACTCATGTTTCCAAGCAACAGGAGCTTGGAACAAGAGTGCTGTTTGAAAGGTGCCAAGCTTTCAGGTGCCCTAGGAAGAGGGGAAGAAGACACCAAGCTTTTTTGCAATCCCATGCCAAACTGCTTCTGTCAATCACCAGAATCAGTTCTCTCACTCAATTCAGAAGTTAAAAAAACAGTGAGAGATATCATTGTTGTCAGGAAATCACTGCAGAGGTTAAAACAGATACCTCTGCAATGAAATCAAATATATGCCATTTTCCCCATCTACTGAAAAATCAAGCCCTATTTGTTATCTGCCCTTTGTGCACTCATAGATGTAATGACTGATAACAAAGGGGATGAAAACAGATTGGGACAAATCAGAAGTAAGCATTTTCAGTAAAGACATTATTAACTACTTTTTTCCCTTCAGGCAGACAGCAAATCAAGCTATTGAATTGATCTTCCTTAATAAAAACTTATTTCACATTCTTTTCATCTATTGGAAAGACAAGAATTTCAGGTTATTTTCTTATTTTGGGGAAATTATTCAACTGCAAACCAACAGTTATTACTTTTGAAGAGGAAGAGTTCATTTCTCAATGAAAATCCTTTAATTTGTGCAGGAAAAAAATATAAGCAGGAGTGATTCATGAATGTTTTTCATAGACAAAGAAAAAAAGAATTTACAGACTATGTCTACGTGTTTTTAAACTTCTCATACAGATTCAATTGTACTAAATAAAACTCCACTAAACACAGAGCACTCTGACTTGCCATAAAGCCATTAAAATACACAGCAATGCATTAGGCTTGAAGATCCGGACTCAGGCATGTTAGCAATTTAGAGGGGAAGGAATTTAAACTGTAACAGCCTGCATTGTAGCTTTCTGAGGAAAGACAAACTCCAGCAACAACCAAATTCTTTTAGTTATTTAAAGATGAAAGGTTGTTTTGATTTTAAGATGTAGTTTAATCTTCCTTTATGAATACTGAAAACTTAAATATCCTTCACCTTAAAAGCTTGTATGACTACTCTCAAATGCGTTGAACTTTTCTAGGAAATTCAGATTAACTTGTATAAAAACGATTCTGTATCTATCTTAGCTTATCTTAATAAAGAGAAAAAATGCCAAAGTTCAAACTAGTCATAGTAGGAAGTCCTTGGTGAAAAGTCAAACACTCGAATACTAATCTAATTTCGAGAGAATTATCATCATTAATCGGGACCGATGCCCAAAAAACACCCGTGTCTGCAAAAAGAATTCAGAAGAAATCTTAATCAGACTTTGTATAGAAGACTGAACACCCATTATTAGCTCGATTCTTAGTAATTTTCACAGGAAATCCATTTCCAGACAATGTTAATATTAAATGATTAAATGATGATTAAATGTTAATATAAAATGATTTTCATGTTCTTGCTTTTTTGATTTCAGGTGAACCTTCTTTTCATTGCCAATCATGCATGTCATTCCTTAATAAACTGACAGCTGGTCTAACTCATTGAGAATAAGCATAAATTGGGTGAATCCAGTGCTGTAATCATGCAGAATAAGCCTGATCTATGATATGGCAATAAATACATTTAAGCAATGCACTTCATTCAGTAAATACCTTCACATTCCTCTGCAGGAAACAATGTATTCTGATGCAGATTTGTCTGATTTTCCTTTGGGATCTCTTAAACTTTGCAGGTGTTACTGGAGAAAAAATCCCTTATCAGCAGCTCCCAGCATAGCTCAGGCAATATGCTTCACTATTTCTACAGCACAGAACCCTGACCCTATGGCTAGTCAGGCAGCTCTGCCTTGGCTCCCATTCGGCTTTTGTGTGTTGCTTTGATCAGCTCCTGGCTTTGGATGAAAGCAATTCTGTTAGAGACCACCTTCAAACTCTCTTAAAAAAAAAAAAAAAAGAAAAAAAAAAAGAATTACATACATAAAACCAATTGAGCCTGTTAAGCAGCAGGAAGAAGCCAAGTAGGGGGAGGAGAAAGGGAGGGGAGGAGGTGCCACAAATCAGTGCTAGGAAATGATGATCAAAGCGGCAAGTGGAAAATTAGTTAAAAATGTTGTACAGGTCTCGGTCATTCCCTTTCCCAGCACTGTAAGGCAGAGGGTTTCTCTGTGTTACCCAGGACAGAGACACGACTCTCTTTTCAACTATTGTCTTACACGCGAGCTCTGTACCAGCAGCACTTCACATCTTAGAGCAAAGCAGTAGGAAACAGACTGGCAAGTCAGAAGGAAAGAGATTATCTTTAAATCTATGCTTTCCAAAGCAAATTCTAAAGAAATCATCAGATGGGACATATTTTACTATTTTTAGCTATGGATGCTAGAGATTATTTTTGAGAACGTTTTCAGAATCTGACATGAAATTACAGAGTCATCGTATACTGACTGTAAAGGCTTTTGATCCATCCACTTTCATTTTTCCTTAACCTGATCCTAACCCACTAGGCTCATTAGGGGAAGCAGTGCAGCAATGTAGGGCAGCCCCCAAGAAGGGCAGGATGTGCAGTAAAAGCTCTTTGGAGCTGTCTGCTTCAGAACAGCAGAGGCATAGGCAGTCTCTGATCTCTCCCTTTATACATATGGGCTGCACAGGTTTAGAGCCTGTTACTTCTTTGATAGAGAAAGGCATCGCTGGTTGATGTAGAAATCCTCACTGATTTCTTCTGACTGAACACACTATGATAAAACTGTCATAATTTCCACACAACGAAGATGAACAGATACATAATGGAAATAGGCTAAAAGGCATAAAGCCATCCCTGGGGTTATGATAAAAGACAGCAAATACTTCTTTTACGTAAATTAATTACACTGGAAAATCAAACAGCATCAAGGTTTACTCAGTCAGGAGATCAACGTGCACTGCATGTTGAAAATGTGAGTAAGAAAAAGTAATAAACTTTTTTCAAGTAAGAAAAATTAATAAACAAAAATATGCAATGCAAAAACCTTAATCAAGCATCTTCAGTTAAAGAACCACTACAAAGCTCATGTTTCATCCTTTTAGCAAAGTGAACTTGTAGTTTGAGATCTAAACTGATTATTTTAAGGGATCAAAAATTATAGTTTCCTGTATTTTTTAAAATACCTCAGAGTTATTCTGAGGAGAGCTCTCTCACCCCAGAAAACAGCAAAGCGTGAGGGACTAAGCAGTCAGGACACAATCTATCGACAAATGCACATACTTACAACATGAAAATTAGGTGTTATAAAATATCTCTCAACTACAACATTTGAATAGCCACAAATACAAGCAACTGTGAGTCTGTCATCTTATGTTATAGGAATGTTTTCAGTAAGCAGTATTTTTCAGCGTGGGAATACTAGCCTGGTACTGAAAAGCACACTGTACCATAATGAAAGCATGAGCTCCTTGGGGTCATCCAGTGAGTTACTCCCAAAGTTTCATACTCTGGTTGCATTGCGGAACATCTTACACCCAACGTAACTGCCAGTGATTATATCTTTACAGCGTTTTCCTTCTTTTGATTTAGAATAGCCTGCTGCTTGAAGAATTGGTTAGGACACTTAACACTCCTGAGTCAGCACTGTACGCAACCACCGAACAACTCAGCTGGGTCGCCATGACACGAGCACTCTCCTCTGACAGTAGAACACAGGAAGGTTTCAAAGCTATCTATTCTGCAGCTGTAGCAAAAACAAAGCAATTAGACCACAGTATAACCTGGCAAGCTGTTCTCTAATTTGTGTGCTGGCTATACTAAATGATAAACGGTCTGACTTTATGTCTTGTTAATACAGAAGTGCTGTGCTGGGTCATGGTGCTCCTGTCAGGGCACATATCAATCTGTCAGTCTGAAGCATTATTAACGTCAACAGTTTTGTTACAGGTTTTGGAAGGGCGGAAGGTTGTTTTTTTTTTTTTTTTTTTAAATTAGGAGAGTCTTTTGCATTATGTTGATAACAAAAGCAGTAAAGAAAGCATAATAAAGCGGATACTTCATTCTGCTAACAGAACTAAATTAACAGAAATTACATACGTAGCATCATTACTTTTGTGTTGGTACTACGCCTCTAATCTTCTGAATAAAAGGAAATCAAAACAAAATTTGAGAGGCTGCGCTCAGTGTACTACTGCATACACAAAGGAACAGCTATTGCACCATGCACAGACACTACATCTCTTAAAGATGTCCAGTGATGTCTGGCTTCCTATTAGCAATGCACAGATGTGAAGATGTGAACCTTACACGTATTAACCTCACCAGATGACACTTAAAAGACTGCATTGCCAAAGTTACGAGAAATGCAAAGGAAGAACAAACACTGCAAGAAATACGCATGCATGAGTATGAGCACACATGATTTCTGGAAGAGTATCTTTTAGTAATTTACCAGTTCAACAACAACACAAGCCATAGAATACGTATTTGTATCTCAATTAATGCCAGCCAGACATTCTTAATAACTGTGATGCAGTCATGAACCAGATTTCTCTGGGATGCTGTATAGGGTGCTGCCTAAAATGAAGTCTCCAGCTTTCCTTTGGGCTGGAAGGATCACTCCACTCAAAGAACATTAATAGAGGGCAGAAATAGAAGAAAAATATGTTATTCCAGAGTTCAGTGGTGGAATGCAGAATGTAAAAGCAGCCTGCCCGCTCGGTATAGGCACAGAATAGAAGTTCCAGGGGAGAAATAGAAAGAAAACAGAAGGGCCTGTTGTATTTGATTAGTACCCACAGCAGGAATGCCAGGAGTGCCTGATGAGCATAGAGATTATGTATGAGAGATGCAGAGTCAGTGAGAGTTGGTCTGTATGCAGCTGCTGACATAATGTATGTCAAAAGATCGCGTTTGTCTGTCTAAATGAGTTGCCAAACCTGTGTGAAATGAATCAGTAATTTAAGTGATGAATTGATGGAACAGTTAAGGAAGAGATGATTATATAGTTATCCACCAGAAAGGTATAATTTTATAGCAGAAAAGCAAGCAAAGATTATTTGTCTGATTTGCCCTCCTGCTTTAGCAGGGAAAAATGGAGACTGCTCCTCCAAAATACCCAATAACTTACTATTTGATGTGTGCAGAATATATAAAAATCAATTAAAACATGGCCCAGCCAGGCAGAGCAACTGATTTAATTGAAAGACAGCTACCTTTCTTCCCAAAATGTTTTTAAAATTGTTGCAGGTATAACTGCTTTTTCTGCTTTGCCAGAACTGTTAAAATGTGTTTAAAATCTTACATAAAAGTTTCTTTGTATGCAGACTGGAAATACCTATTGGGTTGAACTTCTCATGTAGTCCAGGATGGTGTCCTCCAAAGAGATATATGGAATGTCTCTTAGTTTTGTACTTTTAGATGTGTACAAAAGGAGACATTTAAAATCGTCTAGAAATACAGAGTGTGATTTAGTTTCCTAACTACACATATATTCTAGCTTTGAAACTAAGTTTGAACTGCCTTGACTGGATTCTAGCAGAGGTCTGAGGCAGGTCATCGGTCATATCCAATAGTGAACATCTCAGGTAAACCACAGAACCTCAAATGAAACTGGAGAACTACTTAGGCAATGGAAGCGATCCACAGATATGCATCGGTTCACTAGGCAGAATTTTTCACTATTCAATAAGATCAATGGAGCAGTTATTCAGCTGACCAACCACTACTGTTTATTTACTTCAGCATTAGCTATATCACTCATTTGGCTCCACTGATCACATTGACTGCATGTCCATTCCTAATAAGAGCTCTTATTAGGATGTCTTACATTAGGATGTAGATGTCTTCTACATGAAGACATCTAGATTTGGGAGTCTTGAGGTTCAATTCAGTTGCCCACATGTAGATGTTCTGTGGCCTCAGTTGTGCCTTGACAGGAGACCTGAGACACCCTTGTGGATCCCGCTAACACCGTGTAAGATCTTCAGGAAACCAAAACAACCAAAAGACCTGCTGGCAACTCAAATGTCTAAAGAAGCATGTAAACAAAAAACTGTTATCAGATACTTTACCTCAAATTTATTCCCATACTCAACGGCAAAACAAACAGCAAGGACATGGATACATTTACATTGGCAAATGACTCAGATTCCAGTTTATTCCTGATTTCTGATCACCTGACTTCTTACAATGCACATATATTAGTTGACATCCAGGCATTTTACATTATGTTTCAGTTCTGCAAATAATTAAGTAAAAGCACTCCTTTCTCACGGACAAGATTATGTAAATTTTTCTCCCATCATCCCACACAGCCCTCTTCAACAGTTTCCAAAAACAAAACAAAAAAACAAACAAACAAAAAAAAACACGAAAACTTGGTACTTTTACTCACCTGCTCTCACTCCACGTTCCACGGCATGCAATAGGTGCCATGCTGTAAGATCATAGAAGCATGGAATGGCTTGAGTTGGAAGGGATCTTAAAGATCATTCAGTTCCAACCACCTGGCACGAGCAATGTTGCCAACCACTAGACTAGGTTGCCCAGGGCCCCATCCAAACTAGCCATGAGCACATCCAGGGATGGAGCATTCTAACTTCTCTGGGCAACTGAGAATTGTTCCAGTACCTCACAACTCTCATAGTGAAGAATTTATTCCAAAATCTAATATAAATCTACCCTCTTTTAGTTTAAAACCACTCCCCCTTGTCCTGTCACTTCACACCCTGATAGATTCCCTCCCCACCTTTCCTGTGGACCTTCCTTAAGGAATAAGGAGAACTCAGTGAGGTCTTCCTGGAGCCTTGTCTTCTCCAGGCTGAACAACTCCAACTCTTCAAGCCTGTCTCCTAAGGACAGATACTTTAGCCCTTTCATCATAATCATGGCCCTACTCTGGACTAGCTCCAACAGGT